AACATGGGACGCAGTCAGCCAATCGTTGCGCTAGAGGGGTGGGGCTTGTCGGAATACAGGCGGGAAAAGAAAAATAGCGCGCGCGAGAGAGAGAGGGTGGAGACTGAGAGGTGGAATGCAGAACGTCCGCGTGCAGGCGAGATTCTCTCGTCGACCGTTGGGCCGAGTGACAGTTTATCGTCAACCAACTTTACAGTAAATCCGGATTTAATCGCTTTTAAGAGAAACACAGCTCTCCTGCATTACTTCACTCGATGGATTTTAATGGATACGAATTCTCCTCCCGGTAGACGACGGTGACTGAAAAAAACAAACATCTTTCTTCAGTCACGTTAGTGAGGTACAGGATAAGCGCTAACAGCGTAGTGGCAGCTGCCTGACTTCGCAAGTGGAGTCCTTGTAACTAATTCGTAGTTCCGTAGCGGTGTGCTGGAGCAGTTCTAGCTGTAAAAGAACTGGAGAAAAACGTCCAAGAACTCCTTCTGGTTTATTTGGTGGATTTTGCTCTGTGTTTTGTGGATTAAACCGTCGAGGTGTCCCGCAGGGATCGTCCTATTCCTCCTGCTCCGCTTTGTGCCACTCTGACGACGAACTGGGTGAGTTAGCTAACCTAGCTAGTTAGTTTCATCATACGGTTTCAGAGAAGTTTCTAAACCTGTTCATTTAAATGGCTTCTTGATTACAGCTGAAAGTCGACTTTTTGAGATAAAAGAGGCGAGGTTCGTATCTTTGACGGTTAGGCTACTGGTTATCTGCCTCACAATAAACTTGACAGTAGAAGTGTATGATGCAAATTGCCAATAAATCCAGAATTATTCTACAATGACGATTGCTAGTAAGAAACGCCCTTAGATTCAACTGTCCTTGACTGTCATTTAACTTGAATAGAGCTGAAATTAATGACTTCCCTGCTGTTTTTAATTGCCGGATCGTGAGATGATAGGACTTTGGGATTTCAGATATCTCGATGCATTTCCTGTAATGCAGTAATGAAACTGAATAATAAAATTATTTTTTTATGTTCGAAATCGGTGCATCAGTGCTTGGTGATAACTTTCTTTGGCATAAATAATGCACATACAATTTTTCAGTGGATCTTAACAGTGCTCTCTTGTGGATACAAAGGGTAGCAGTATTAGAAATGTATCTCCTGTTTTGTTGATTTAAGTGAGCTGCATAACAGACGCTTACTTGCCTGCTCGCGGGGCTCTGGTGAAAGAGAGCATTCACATCAAATCAAAGCATGCCATCATTTTTTTATGAGGCACAAACTATGTAGTTTGATTACTGAGATAAAACATAAACAAGAAAATAAAATCTGGGGCAGGTTATATATTTTATCACCTATTTCCCAAACTATGATGTGGTTTAGAGTTTCACACCATGTGACATCCATTCACTCCATTATGATTATTATGTTATGTGTGTCATTTTATTGCTTTGCTTCATACATCTCTTCATTATTTAGTGGGCAGCTGTACACTGTCTTTATTTGGGACAGTATGATATTTGGGGCAAAGTGATGAACAGAACCCTCTCTGCTGCTGAGAGAGAAAAACAACACGTGAAGCTGTTAGCCTACAGGATCATGTAAACCCAATTACCTGGTAACAGTGTCCTCACCTCTGCAGTCTCTATCAGCACAGATTTCCAAGTAGCGCATGGCATTCCCCAGAACTCGACTCATAACATAACGTCCACTCGTTACTCATTATGGTGAGTTATTTGGCCTCTTCATAACCAGAGACAGAGCTTAACTAGTGCTGAGCGATATTGATAAATTTCAATATCAGATTATGGTATTTAAGTTTGCATTAGTTAAGTTAAAGAACCTATACGTCCTGAGTACTGATAATGTCAAAACACCAACTCTTTAACCATAAAGGCTGCTTTTTTACATCAGAGGGGGCTTTATACAATATTGTAAACATTCTCCGTAGACAAAAAATTTCAAGAAAGGGAGCTGTTGATTTCATTAGATGTACCTTGAATTGCTCTTTGAAAACAATCTAAAACAGCCAGCAAATTACATACTTTACGGTCAACTCTCAGGTCATGGATACCTTTAAAAAAATGCACAGAAAAGAATTTAAAAAGCCCAAAAATACACGCTTTGACAACAGGGGCATTTCTATTCTGTGTTATATATATCATGATCAGTATCCTTAAACTATCGCTTAAACGCAAAAGCAATATCACGGCGTGTCAGTGTCACAGTATTCCGATCTATCGGTCAGCACTAAGCTTAACTGAGCTTTGTTGCATTAAAGACCAGCTGATTGTTTTGAATGATATACTCCTTTCAGGGTCATTTGTGAGACCATAAGCCCTCCCCTAAAGGATGTTAACATGCTGGGGCATGGGGTGTCTGGTGTTTTATAGATATATTTCTGTATGCTGTAAAATAAGGCCCACTTGTTTGACCTCGCTGCAGAAGTATTGGTTACATATTCCAGAGAACCATATAGGTGAAACGTGTTTTTCTGACAGCCTGTTTTGGCTGTATTGTTATTGTGGGCCTAAATGCTGTTGGAATACAGCAACGTTATGTCTCCTGTTAGCTTTGAGCAGATGGCATGGTGAGAACTTCCTTGGACTGAGTGCAAGGATGCAAAACACACTAGCTTGTTAACCAGTTAGTCTCAGGATAACATAAAGACGTGTGTACACCCGAGCCAAGTGTGTGCCAGTAATCCCTGAGATAATGGGATTGGAGGACAGCACCATTACTGTAAATCGCTTCAACCTTATTGAAGGTTACTTACATAGAATGCATTAATCGTGACATTTTGATAAATGCTGCCATGCATTTAATGCACATTCATAAGAGGTAAGTATGACCACCGCTTCTGTATATTATAGTCTGCCTCGTGTTGTCTTTGCTCTTTAAGAGATCAAAAAAGAAGCACTTAAGAACTTAAACAGATTATGTTTATACAGTTACCAGCGATAGTTAATGGTATTTGGGTCTTTAAGTTAGCGGCAGTGCTTTTGAAAAGCTGCTGTCTAGCACATATGTCAGCAGGAACTGAGGCCTGGTCAGTGACCCCAAGCAGCAGTGGCAAGGCCTGCTGGGATTTAGGTGTTAGGGGTGTGCATTAGCCTGCTGGGCTGGGGCTCCTCCAGGGGCCCCAAATGAGTCAGTGGATATAGAATCCTCCTGCGTTTGGAGAAGACGACCAGGAGGCTCAAGGCATTAGTTGTCACTTAATGCTGCATTGCACATTCTAAAGGTGGAAAGTGGCACTCAGACTGACTTTAGTGGAGGACTGGAAAGCATTTTTTTTCATAGATGTATCCAGTTGCATCCTTTGGTGTCATTGGAAGCCTGTTTAGCCGTAAGCTGTCTTAATGCAATTGAGTTAAAGGACACTTGCCGCAATTATGGGCGATTAGATGGTTCCGTTCCTCCAGGTAGTTCGTGGATTTCACTTTTAATAAGACGGCGTTTCTTGGAGCCACAGTGGTGTAGATTAGCATTTTTAAACCTCAATCTTTAGATAGCTATTAATCAGAAATACTCATTCATGGTATAATAATTAGTGCTTAACCTTTTGGATGACCTCATTTTGAATGTCCTTTGGCTGTGCTAGGTAATGTCAAATGGTGCAGCCGTTATCTGCAGTAAAAAAGGTTCTGCGACTGACAATGTTGCTTTCTAAAGCATCCAAGCCTTTTAAAGCTTTGAGTTCATGCCGTGTTTGAGGGTGGGACTGGTTACATTAGTGTGGAGTTGACTTTGAGAACGTATCTATGCTTTCGGTATGGTGGTTCTGCTGAGGTGCCATTTAAAGTAAGGTCCCGGAGGAGTTCGCCACAGCTCATCCGCCTGGCTGACACCCAGCTGTCAAACGCTGACAGCTTCCCTCAGCGCTGAAGTCTTACCTTGTCACTGCCTGGAATAACTAGAGGGGCTATTTGTGGAGCTGTCTTTGGCCCAGGCCTCGGTATTGGTCACAGCATGTGGCAACGGCCTACAGCGGAAGGGTTTTTTCACCTTTGTAACTTCTGTTAACAATGTGTATAAAAAGGACATTCCAGAGCGTTCGCGCTCCTGTTCTTTTACTGCTTTTGGAGCAGAACGCTGAACGGTACATATAGACACAGCCAAGGTGTAAAGGGTAGCAGTGCATCAGTGTTGCTGCAATCCAAATCCTGCTGTTTGTTTATTCTATTTTCATTTGAATGAAATAGCCTGCAGACAGTCTGTGGGAAGGACTTTTGAAAAGCTCTTTAAAAGCATACCTTAATGCTTTTAGAGTGCACAAGTCCAACATTTGCACTCTGGGATTTACAACAGCCCTGCCACTGCCACTGAATGTTCTAAAACATTGAAGCAAGGGGTTGGGGGCGTATTGGCCTCTCTGTAAATTCATAACCCTAGCTCTGAATGCGAAAATCAATATGCAGTTGAATGCCAAACATCATTTAGAAGCTATGAATAGCCTGTTCATTTGCTGCAAATACATACTGAGGTGGAATAGCTATGGTGGAAAAAATTGTAATGTGAAACATAACTCTATAAACAACTTAATGGGAATAGGTGAGAGGCGTAATTTTAAAACACATTCACATACCACATCATGTCAAAAGTGTATTTTATTCCAACACAATGTGTAGCATCTATGGAATCTCCTCTGTTTTCAGTACTGTTTGGAGATTTCTTATAAAGGTCTGTGGTTGTAAGGGCAGGAATGCATACTGATTTCTTCGGTTCTTTCTGGGCACGGAGTCTAAGAATGTTCAAACCGCCTTAATTGCAACTGGCTTGTAAATGAAACATAGGAAAGAACCCATCCAAGGCCACAGCATGATATATTAATTCCCTGTCCAATGCAGACATAGGTATGAATGTTAGTGCTGGCGGATCCTGGGAGATGGGGGAGCCTGCACAGGGTTCACATTGTTCTTGTGGTAACCTGAGCTGGGCCTAGGCATGAGCAGAGGGTGGGGGGGCGGGTGGTGCGCAGCCAGGGTCAACTCTGTTGAGAGATCAGTAAGACAGCTGCCCGTTTGGAGCTTTCAGCGCGGCTCAAATAAATACTTTGACTACCTAACTTACGAGCGTTAAGATCTCGCCCCAGCTAAGCACACACATATTAGAGCAGCAACTGTTCCAGCAGCCCGCCGCGTTGGCACTCCAGACGAGGCCCGGCCCAGCTCGGGCTCCTTCCTCATTTGTAAGGTCATTCTTTAAAGCGATCCATTATAGCTAAGGAGCAAAGGGAGTCTCCAGGGTCCTCGGCGCAGCAGATTGTTATACTGCTGCGCTGCGGCTTTGGTTTCTAGGAAGCAGGCGGTACGACACATCCCATAGGCATTGACAGCTATTGTGTGCATGCCTGCCCTACATCACTGCCACTAATCCCTAACTGAGAGAAACCTGACCACTAAATAATGAAAGAGCTCAATGCCAGCGCACTCACCTATTTCCTGGCACAGACGATTTGCTCGCCGCAATTCATGTGCTCTTTTCATGGCTGCTGTCTTACATCGTGCATTGTGAAGGGATTATCTTCAATGCCGGGGGTGTCTTACTCAAATAACATGGTGTGTTTTATTGAATGTCATTTTTAATCACAGTTGTCTCACATGCACACATAAGGTCTGGCTATAATTACCATTTTTTTGTTTGTTTATCACTGCAGAAAAGAGAGTGACTGCAAATTATTGGTAAAGTTTTCTTAATAAAACGGTTCTTTTTATTTATGGTTTAGGAACGTAATGCCCTTTATGTAGTGATTTGTTGTTGCTAGCTTTCTGTGGTGCATTCGCAATCCAATAGGCTTAGTGTTAAGCAGGGGAGAGAGAACGTGTTTACTTGCCAGAGAGAGAGAGAGAGAGAAAGGACGAGAGAGAGGCAGACATAAAGGAAGTCTTCGCTTAGTCTGTGAGTTACCCTACACACCACAGAGTGTGATCTTTGCGACAGAAGTGGTACATGCAGAATTTGTTCCCTGGTGCCTTGTTTGAGAAACGTAGAAGTCCAGTGAAGGTAAGCTTCTGGAACTCAGCTCGTTAAACTCGCTGGACGGTGAAGTTTCCTCACTTCAAGCTGTGGAGCTGCAAAGGTTGCAGTTCATTGGATGGCTGTGGAGGACTCAAAGTTGATCTATCTCAACTGAACAACCAGTGAGGCCCTTAATGGGTATGTGTTATGTATATGTGTCACCTTTTCTTTTTGGTCTGTTTTCTTCTTTTACCTATGAGTTACTCCGTTGTCTCAACTTCCTTAAGTTTAGATCAAAGGTTATTGTATAGCTTGTGGAAACTGCTTGGCCAGGGAATATTTCAGTGTCCGTTGCACTGCAGAGCGGTAGCACTGTGTAATCATCAGATGTTGGACAAATGTTACTGGATATTATGAGTGGTGCTGTGGAACAGATGTACCTTTAGCTGACTAGGCTTCATTCACAACTAAGCTAAAAGCAACGTGGGAATCTGTCAGCGCACAAGAACAACTGTTTCTCTGTTTGAGTCATTCGCCAACTGCTCTCGGCCTGTGCTGTACACAGTCCGTGATGTTACGGATGATTTATGGGCTGCCCCCCGTCCGCTCCGGAACAATCGCCACAGTACACGCTTTCCGACTTGCCTTTCTGGGAGCTTACCTCAAAACCCTACCTGATTCCTCCTGCGCCTCTTTTGTGTACACACAAACCTCTTCCAACTGCTCCTTCACAAGATTAAGAGCTTTCCCTGGCACTCCGACTGGGACAAAAATTTTAAAGAACAAGAGTATTTAACCTCCGGCTAATCTTGCCTTTGTGTGAATGGAGGGATTAGGCCATTAGACTCAGCATGCCTGGAAGGTTTAGCCCAGTAATGGGGTTGATGAATGACAAAAACTGCTTGGACAAGAGAGGTGCCAACTGAAATAGGAAGACGCATTTGCTGGTGGGCTGACAGCTTGAGAAGCTTAACCCTAATACCTAACCTGCATCAAAAGAACATTAATGTGCCATGACTCAAACTGGAAATAAGCATTTAAAGTCCTAATCAGGAATTTCAACATGAGAAAATGGTAACCCTGGCACTGAATTTCCCAACCCACTAAAAAGGTTTTACTAGCTATATTTCCTTTAGGAATACATAGATGGAAGAATGAACTGTCAGAGCGAAGAACTGGATTTATGGAAAGCTCTAACCTAAACAATAAAAGAAAGGCCTTCATGGTGTTGGCTCACAATAGAGCAGAACCGCTATTTTTGGAATAGAAAATAATCTTAAATGTTTTGGTTTTGATAAGCAGTAAACTTTTAAAAACAAAAACGCCCTCACAAATCCTTGATTGTGGCTTATTTCATCTTGCATAAGATTATTATTTTGTACCAACTGCTGGTTGTAGATGGTACAAAGCATGGTCCGCATGCTATGTCACACGCTTTATAGCACAATAGCACTTTCCTTCAGGCAGCAGCACTCTTGTCTGCTGTTCTTCTTGGCGTTACCATGCTTACCCCCTGTGGTTGCATCACCCTGCTCAATACAAACTGTTCACCAGGGGAGAACTGGTGCTCCGCAGAGAGGAATAAGCTGTTCCTGCTGCTCCCTCCTCCATGGACCCCTGGTGTTCCCAAAAGAAGCTTTACTCTGAGAGAGCCTAACCATCCATTATGGACCTCTCAAAAGACCTTTCACTCCAGATACAACAGGCTCCAGGGGGGAAAAAGGCCCGAATTGACAGCTCCACACAAAGGAGATTTACTGCTTATCTTCATGTGCATGAGTGGCATTCAAAAGGAGGTAATTGCAGGTTGTATACATCGGCAATCCTCTTGGGATTTCAGTCCTCCACCCCATTTGCATTTACCATTGGCGCACCCCTGGGAAGGTCCAGTAAATGTCAAAGTGACACCAACATTAGCCATTAAATGCTAGGTTTACTTTGAGCGAAGCAGAATTAAAGAGGACGGCAGTGTAATGCCATGGAAAAGGTACCGCAATAAAAGAGAAAGGCTCGCTTTTATTTTGCTTAACCCCTGTTTTATTAGCTTTTTCAAATGACATGCCCTGCCCTCCTTTCCTCGCACCCTGTTGTCTTTGTCCTAGCTGCATTGCTGCAACATGCTCTGCCCTGTTTAACAACATTAACTGATAGCATTATACTAATATCCTTTCTAGGAATGACATGTTATCAAATGAAATTAGTGGATTATTAGTGGCCTTGTCCTAAATTGGATTATTCCCCATAATGCAGTTTGAGTACACTGGATGTATTTTCGTATTGACATTAATCCATTGCGATGATCTCACAGCAGTAAACAATATGAAGGTGGATGCATTTTGATGTGTGACAAGGTTGTATTGAAGGACATGAAATATTTGCACTCATAGGATTCGTTTTCTCTTTGCAGGTATCAGTGATGTCGCTGCCTGTGCAAATGCGAGACCAGACAAAAGTGTGTTTGGAGGTACTACGGTAAGAAGATTAGAGTCAAGTCAGCTGTTCCAGCAACAGGAGAAAGACTAAGGAAACAGTAGGACCTTCACGAAAAGTCAAGAAGGGCATAGCCAACTGTGCACCAGAACAATTGGAAGGAAGGCTGTTCTTATCACATAACAGCTTCGGTGCTCCTGGGTTCAGCAGTATTGCACCATGTTCTCCCCAACTGCAGCCCTGCCTCCTCCCCCTCTGTTAACAGGAAGTGCTCTAGCGGTGCCAGGTCCTTCTCCTGCAGGTCCCTACACAGGTATGTCACCACATGTTCACAACTTCTTCACAACTAGGCAAGTAATGTTTCAACGTTCATGTACTAACAGTGCATGGTGGTTAATTTACAGAGCAGGACCTGCTGCGTCAGGAGTTGAACTCTCGCTTTCTGGCCTCTCAAGGTGTGGATAGAGGAGCGGCGCTGGCCACGCCGGCCTACCTGCGCACAGAGTTCCACCAGCACCAACACCAACACACGCACCAACACACACACCAGCATACCTTCACCCCCTTCCCCCACCCCGCCATCCTACCAGGCCCCGCGGCACCACTGGTGCGTACCCCTGCCAGACATGTGAGGATGAGTACTCTCAGGGCAGCCAACAGGCTGCTTTTTATTCTGATTTATCAATAGACCTGTTTTTGAATGTAAACACTTGAGTTTGATTTTATTGTAGGACTAGATTGATCATTAGAATGTGACTATAGTAGTATGAATATTGTTAGAGTTCGACTAGGCCTGTCACTGTTAGTACATCACCTAATCGAAATTGTTTGAGCTGATCGCAGTTATTTAAGCTGTTTCATTTGCTAGCTTTCACAATCATATGTTTACTTTAAAGAAAGCAGAAAGCAAATTTATTAAGACAAGTCTTTTAGGTAAAGAACCAACAAAATCTCTGTCTTCTGGCTGTTGTTATAACATCTTTAGAGGGCAGCAGTGAGTGATGTTTATTTGAGCTCAAGTCGTGTCTTTCATCAGTTGGAATGAACTAAGTACCAACAGCTCGGTAGCAAGAATCAGCCAATTTGGCTTCTTTAGGCTTTTACTTTGCATGCAAAATAATAATTAATTAAACAATTTGTTAATTAATTAAATTCAATTCATAATCAGCTACAATGCCATGATGATGACAGGCCTAGTTTCAGCAGTGAGGATAATGATGAGCTCTGCTATGTGCAGCATGTATGACGTAGAATTTATTGTGATTATTATTGCACATTTGTGTCATGGTTTAAACCGGGTCGCTCCTGTATAAAAAGTAACATATTTTCTTACCTTCTTTTCAGTTCGATAAATACCCTCCAAAGGTCGACTCCTTCCACAGGCACAGTGTAAGTCGCAGTGATTGCATTGCAAATAGAGTACGTGTTTGCCTGAAGTCAAATTCACCCACTGCATTTGTTTCCAACTACACTTCTACAGTTCCTAGAACTTTTTATATAACTTTATTTGAAGTTTGACTGGACCAAAGTCTGTCTTTGTTTTCATTAATCACTGAAATTGTTATGAACAGCTCTTTTGTTCAGAGACTTTACAGCTTATTTTTATGGAAATTAGCACTCTGACCCAGCAGTTACTGTGCTCACAGACTAATGATATACTGCCACATCATGTTTTACAGTTACTCCACTCCTACCCGTCAGTAATGCCTGGGATGTCTCCCGTGGTGCCTCCAACAGGGATATTCAGCTCTCTGCAGGGAGCCTTCCAGCCCAAGGTACAGCACAAATGGACTAACCTCACAGCTACCTGTTTTATATCACCTCTGAGTAATGTACGATATGTAGTTATCATAAATTGAAAAGCCCCAGTGGTTGAAATTATATTTGACTGTAATTTTACATCATTAGCGCTTAGAAGTGCTGAAGAAAAGGAGACAAACTGTGTTGTGAGGAATTTTATAGGATGGCTTATATACTGAGCCAAAATGGTCCAGTTTATAGTATTCTGTTGTGTCCAAGAGCATTTGTATGATTTCAGGTTTTATGTAAATACATTTAACTTAATTGTGCTCATAAACCATGCTTGGAAAAAAACAGACATATTATCAGTTCAACATAATATGTGTAGCGCTATGGTTTGAATTTACCACATTATTGTTTTGACAGGCCTCTAACCCACTTGATATAGTGCCCAGACCTGGAGCAATGCCCCGCCCACTCATACAAAAGGACACCAGAGTAAGCATCTAAATCGATATAAAATGTAAAAGTCTTTGTGTCAGGAGGTTTGTTTAAAAACCTTCAGTTAAGAAACAAAACATTCAGACTAAACAATACATAAAAGAAAACGTAGGGTTATTTAAAGGAAACTAAATTATAAAGTAAGTAGGACTAAATATTTCATACTCTTATCTTTTTTCAGCTGCTGGACTCAGTGTGCCCTACACCGAAGGTAAGACGTACAAAACATGCAATCAATGAACTTTCATTAAGTAACATTTTCAAATAAAAAATTCAAACGTTTAAATGTATTTTTTCTTACAGAAGCCAGGGAAGTGGTGTGCAATGCATGTTCACATTGCATGGCAGGTGTACCACCATCAGCAAAAAATAAAGGTATATTTACTAACACTATAGCATGACTCTCATTGTGTTTATCTCTCTTTTGCAGTAAGAGGATTTTTCCATTTGTCTTCCTCCATCTGTGTTTACCAGATCTGTTTTTTGGCTTCTCATCATTCATGCTAGAACCCCTCTCTTGTCTGCGCATTTCAGAAACAGATGCAAATTGAGCCGCACAAGCTAGACTTTGGGCTAAAGCCAGAGTTCCTGAGTCGACCCTCTGGTTCAGGCTTCGCAGGAATGATCCAGCAGCCGCGTGACTTACCCCGCCCTTCCACCATCTTTTCCAGTGCTGGTAAGTATCAGAGATTCTGTTACGTCCAGAGACACAAGGGCAGATCGACATTAATGGGCACTTCTTATCGGAGTCTACTGTATTTCAGCGCTCAGTGAAGATCAGATAAATCTATGTCATCATATCCATATTAGCTGTGTGTAATTACTCCAGATGAACTGATCTCAGGAGTACTTCTCCACTGGTCAAAATGTTTGAGGAACTCACAACAAGGAAAAACAAGCAATTACTGATTGTTCAAAGCAAAAGGCAATAATTATTTCATATTCAAGATGACTGTTTTCTTTTTCAGGTTCAACACACCCTTCAGTCTCTCCCTATGGACATTTGCCCCACCCTCACACCAACCTGCACACCCCACCCTTTCATCATGGTAAGAGTAAATTACCATGTGGTTAAAGTGTGACTCATGCTTGGCCAACATTTTAAATGGATGCTGTTAAAAGCATGAATTGTTCTTGTTGTGTAGAGTCTCTTAACAAGCCACCTGCTTTTGGCGGTTTGGGAACACTGAGTTCCACAGCCTTCGGAGGACTCGGAAACCCTACAATAAGTGAGTAAATAAAACCTGCTATTATTATGCTTTTCTAATGTATTTCATCGGATGTATAGAAATTATAAGTGCAAAGGCCTGCAGGAAAGTGAATATCCATTCCAAATCCTCAACAGCACCAAGTTCCACACAAGGCAGCAAAGACATCAAGGCAGCACTGTCTTCTGTAGGACCTCAGGAGCCTTGGAACAGACTGCACCAAACACCCTCTTCTTTCCCCACACCCCCTGTGTGGCCTCGAGCCCCTGAACCTGAAAAGGCTTCATCGCTGGACAGAGCACTGGACAAAAGAGACAGCCTACCCAACAAAGAAGAACATGAAAGGTTTCAGACTCTATCTATTTTATCAAACACAGATGTTTAATGAGAATATGTCAGAAACCTATATACTGGATACTGCTTTACTTATGCTGATTTACTTCCTTTCTAGGGACACAAGAGGGAAACGCCTTTCACCTGCTAATGTTAGCCCACTGGGTCACAAGCAAACAGAGTCTTCTAGAGGCCCGACTCCTGAGCCAAAGGACAGGGACAGAGCCAAAGAGAGAGCGCAAACACAGGATCTACCTAATCTAAGTGGAGAGCCAGAGGATCAAAAACACAAAGAGAGCCAACAAGAGAAAAGAGAGAAGGCTTTAAAGTTTGACCAGCATCCCACAGAGGATAAATCTGCTGCTGAGGATACTTTGTCCCCAAAGCAACAGAGGGTCGAAGCAGAGAGGCGCAGTAGTGATGGACCCCACTGGGAGCCAGAGACAAAGAAGAGTAGAGTAGAAGCTGAGCCTCATGCAAAAAGTGGCCAGGTTAAGGTAAAGGAGGAGAGAAGGGAGGACCAGGACTCCCCCGAAGTCAAGCCACCTCCTAAAGCTTTGGAGAAACCATTGCAGGGGCGTGGGACCCCAGGAATACAGCCCTCACCCCTGTCATCCATTCCTGTGCCTATAGGAGTCACAGGGGTTCCAAACAGCCTCGATAGGACTCGGCTAATTGCGCCATTCATAGGGATGAGTCCATTGCCAGCCGAGAGGCTGCCATACTCTCCGCAGCACTGGGATCCCATGCGGAATATGTACAGGGGCATGGACCTTCCTCAAAAAGAGCCCCTTCCCAAGGAGCTTTTGCTGAGGGCTGATCCACTACAGCGTGCCATGGTGGGGCAGCACGTTTACCCGCGGGATCCGCTACTACACTCACTGGCCCTGGAGCAGCAGAGGAGCCAGCTGGAAGAGCGGCAGCGCCTGGCCCTCCTGCGGGAAGAGAGCGAGAGGAGCCGTCTGCTGGCCCTTCATCATGCATCCCTGGACCCCCACCTGGCCCATCCGGGCCTTCTGCCCACAGCTTACCCCAGCCCGCTGTTCCCCCGTCTAGGGCTCCCACACGGTCCACACTACAGCTCTCTCAGCAAGACTTTGCCTCCTCCTGGCTACATACATGCTCCTCCACCCTCTATGCTGCCTGTTCTTTCCTCACGGCCGGCCTCCCCCAGACGGACTACCCCTCTGCCAGACCGGCAGGACAGATCCATCTCCCATCCTCACAGGGACACAGAGGCTCCGTGAGCCAGACAGCATGAGGGCCTGAATGAAGGCCAAGCCAAGCACTTCATGTTCAAATGAGTGTACAATATTGAGATGTACAGGGGTGAAAATCATCTGGGCAGTTTTCTGGATGCAGATTAAGTCTAGTCTTTCATTAAATTGCTGTGTCAATGGTGAGTTCATTGTGCTCAATATCTACTAGGCTCAATCCATCGCCAGGAGACTGACCCATTACTTTTTTGTGAAAAAAATTAAAAGAATTTTATGAAAAAAGACTCTCCACTCATTTATTTTTGTTTATTTAATATCAACTGAGATCAACAACATTAAAAATTTCAAAACAGGCATACTATTTACAATAGGATCATATCCTAGTTAATGTAAAATTGAATTTCCCTATTTGAACTCTATAAAACAAATATACATAATACACCACATAAAAACACAATCAACTAAAACAAAGGCTTAAAAAAACTAAAACAAAAGATCAAGAGAAAAAGCTGCTGGATGGAATGCATTTCAGAGGCAAAGCAACAATTAGGCCCCAGAGGTTATTATAAGAATTACTCTAAAATGCTGAAAACCTGCATTTAAACGAGAAAATTTTAAAACAGCGTAGAACTACTAACCCAGTGAGAATAACCCAGAGTAAAAAGGTCCTGCAAGTACAAGAGTCTTTCCTTCCATAGGACCTCATGTGCAATATAAATCCAAGACACATGGTCTAACACTGAACCTGTTTTGTGGTGTTTCTGATTCTCACATGTAGTGCAATTTGGCCTCTCACACCACATCCATACCTAGCCCTCTGGCTACTGCAGCCAGGGCTTGGACAGCACCTGATTCAGCCCCTGGTTCTGCAGGGGCCTCTGGCTCTCCGTTTACCTCAGTCACTGGGCTTAGGACGCAGTATACAGGGGCCCCATCCTTTGCAGCGTTGTTGTCAGCCTCACCTATGAGCTCAGGGCTGGAGGAGGAAGAGGAGGGGTATGACGAAGACTGCGTGGGAGCATCGTTCACACTCTCTGCCTGCAGTGCTGGCCTCTTCGTCTGACCACTCGACCCTGAGACCTTGCGTGGGGTGCGTTTTTCTGCCATGTTCTTTATCAGCTCTTCTGTAACCTCCACTGTCTCAAAGCGAACCATGTTCAACCTCAGGTATCCATCCTCATCCTCTTTATACCTTATTAACAAAAAAGAAATGAATATTAGGAATGAAGAGTAATGATCTAAGAAGTATAAGAGACACTTTTATTGTAAAATATGACAAAGTAGCCAGCGAAAAAAGCAAGAATCGTCCATACCTAAATCGGGAGTGTCCAGATGGCCATTTCAGCTGATGTTTTTTCCGCAGGTGAAGGGTAAGGGTGTAACACCATGAGAAGTTCTTATCACAAAGATGACATTTATACCTCGACACCATGTTTCCCTGTCGGGTATAAATTAACATATTACACTGGCCTGTCTATTTTTTTAGAAGAACCTACCTTTTGGTTCCACCTTACTGGTGTACAATAAGAGAAAGTAGCATATCTGTTGAAATCACAAGTGGTGATAAATCATCCTCTAGCCCTTTACCAACAGTCATTTTCTGACCACAGAACCACCCTCAGCTAGATATTTTTGTGTGGTAGTCTACTTTCAACAACTGATGTGAAAACCTCAGCAATGCCCACCCAAATGATATCTGATCAACAGTCCTGTGGTCAGAAACTGGCCAACGAGGAATGGGGTAGAGAGTAGCTGGCAAATGGTGCATGACAACAGACGGGCTGCAGTCTGTAATTGTACACCTATATAGTGACCTTTAAGTAAGTGGACCTCACAAAGTGGGCACTGAGTAGAAGTACACATTCTAACACGTAAGTGGACAGTGAGTATAAATTAAGCATTAGAGAGATGCAGATGAGAGATATGAAGCTATGTAAAAATATGGTTGATCAGTGTACACCACGTTTAAACCTTAAACCCCTTTCTGCTGGTTTCATAACGGACAAATTCCAACAGTTTTCTAATATGAGTATGTGCCGCCCTCTGCTGGCTGACCTCGTGTACTCTCTTGTAGTGCTGGTTCATGGTGTGAGCCATGCGAGATGAGTATCCACAGCCCTCCACTGTGCAGTGGTACGCTGCTCCTTCATTATGGGTCTCCATGTGCTTCCTAAGATCATGCTGGTTCTTGAAGCTGAAAAGCAAAAGCAAATTAAATAAAATACAGTAGCCCCCTTCTTTTCATATTCCTCTTAAAGCAGGGGTCACCAACCATTTGCAAAGGCTGATGTGGCTGGAGGTTTTCATTCCAATCAATTAGAAGCACAATTAGATTCCATTTGTTTAATCAGTTGATCTCAGTCTTAAAACAACTGATTAGTAATATGAGGTGTGCTCCTGCTGCTTCTGCTTGGTTGAATTGAAAATCTGCAGCCATACTGGGCCTTTTCTGGATGAAAGTGGTGACCCCTGTCTTATAGGGACACCCCTGCCAGACTATGAAAAAAAAACCCTTCTAATGACGTATCTGGAAGGCTGAAAAAATGTTTAAAAAGAAACACAAATACAACTGCTTCAGGGGCAGTTTGAAATAAGGATGTACATTTCAGTCAAATTTGATATTCGAATGTTTAAAGCATTATTCAATATTCTCACCCGGTGTGCGGCAGCCTTTAGCCAACTACAGCAGAATGTTTCTTTTCTTTGTTTTTCTATGTTTCCTTGGGATTAGACAGATACAAACTCTGACCAAAAATAAGATGCTGGTTCTCTACTGCCCTCCGGTGTTGTACAGAGTTCAGACAGCTCATAGTTCTAAGTTGATAGTTAGACTGTAGCTAATTTGCATATAAAACCCTATTTCACTGTTCATTTTTTTAAACTCTCATGACTATTTGTATATTTATATGTCCCATCCCTAGTTTGAAATGTGTGGGGAATTTCTTTTGCTTGCTGGCAAATGCTGTAGGAAGCCAAAGAGCTAATGCTACTGCTACAAAACATGTTTCAACCAGCCCACTCCCAAAAATCCACCAGAATGCAGATATTGTTCCTGCCATCTTCAAGATATGTCACCAGAAGAGGATTTTCCTAGTCAGAACCAGAGTGTCTCTCTAAGTGGAAGGTGTGGAAAAGTTGACCTCTTTCTGAATTTGCTACCTGCTCTCACAGAAGTCGCAGGGGAAAGGCCGCTCGTCACAGTGACGAAACTTGATGTGAATCTTCAAGGTGGAAAGGGATGTGCAAGTCATGTCACAAAGTGGACACTTTATGTGATTCACTGCAAAAAACAGTTTGTTTATTAACACATTTTGAAAATGAACATCTATAAAACTGCAATCATCAGTTTAGAAAAGTTTAAAGTTCACACTAACTTTACTTATGCTGAGAGATCCACATGACATAAATCGTATCAATATACAAACTATTTAGGAGGTGCTTGGTGAACTCACCGTGCTGTCGAACGTGGTCTCTTAGCAGTCTCTCGTTAGCAAAGCCTTTGTCACAATGCCTACACGTCAGTGAATCTGGAACATATAACGAGCGCTGAGTGGACCCCATCCATATAAACATTTTACTACCAGAAATGCCAAATATTGAGAAACCCCTTACGGTTACGCACCAAAATGATAATCTATTTAATTTTTACTATGCACTACATTACAGCGTAAGTTCCCTGGACAAAAAAAAAAGTTGCGTGCATAGTTTCTTCTTTAATTAAGTATATAACTGCCTTAGTGACACCCACAATCCTGTCAGGTAAGGATTACACCAGCCTTGTGCAATTCTGTCCATTTTAGTCCAGTCTTCCACAAACTTTGAGTTTCCTGTCCCAGCAGGAGACAGGAAGGACTGTAGGGTGTCTGTATGTAACTGGTTCAGCAGACATGATGGAACAGTGGGGCAGTTTAACTGAGCTACAAAATCCCCAGACCTCAATCCCAGTTCTCAGTTTGAAAAGCAAACTGAGCAGGTGAAATGCTGAAATAGATACACACAAACTCTAGCTGAAATGTGCGCCCAGGTTCTTGAAGAATAGATTATAATGAACAGGAACTATCTGCAGAAATGAAGCTAATCAAGTATTACAGAACAAAAGATACATGCATACATAATAATAATAATAATAATAATAATAATAATAATAATAATAATATATATGACCCCCCACCTTTCACTTCCACCATAGTCTGTTATGTGGTTCTATGTACCAAAAATGGTCAAAATGACTAAAATATGTATATAGACTATTGTGATTGGCTGTCCTGTATTGCACTTCATTCAAAAAGCAGTCCAGGCTGAAACACTCCTTACAACTTAAATGTGAATGGGCAGAGCTAAACTGACGTAGGCTGATGTCAGTTGTGTTGATGACAACACAAAAACAGTGAATTCAAAATGGGGCGTTCTGCAGTTCAGTTTTCGAATATGGACTTTACGGACTGGGAAGTGGACTATACATTTTGAAACTTTAACAGTGTTTACATACTACATCAAACTATTTTATTTAAAAAAAAAAAAATGAGAATGATGAAAATATGGTTTTCCATATTTTGAAAAGATCAAATCCAGCTGAGACTAATCTAAACAAGTTCTTCAATGGAAGGTATAAGACTTTTATATAAAGGTGTTAAAATTGTCAATGTCACAAATTTGCTTAAATTTGAATAGTGACCTAGAAATAGAGCAGAATCTTAACGGGAGCTCAGGGTACAACTAGATGAGGGCTGGTGGACCAAAGCATTAAAAAGGATAAATTATTCTTCCTCCTGTCCTCGTCTGAATTTGATATAGTTCAAGCTTGTCCACAGAGTAAGTATTCATTCAGAGGTGAACTCATCGTGTCCTTGCTGTAGTAAATAAACCCGCCAATCCTATTACACACGTTTTCGGCTTGCATGAAGCTTCAGAAGTTTTGCATGGCGGTTTTTACCTCACGAATCGAGGCCTTTGAGTGCAATATAATCCCTGCCCTCTGTTTACCATATTTGGAGTCCCGGCAAAATCCCTCTCTACCAAGGCCCAGGTGGCTGACGCAGTTATCTGTGCTCTCCTCTTGGCTAAGAGAAGGATTCTTCTCGGATTGAAAGCTGTCACCCTACACTCACATGCTCTATGGCAGACGGATGTCATGTTTTTCCTGAGCTTGGAGAGGACTAAATTTAGTCTGAGAGGAACTGCAAACATGTTTAACTGGGTCTAGCAACATGTTTTGACTGGGCCTAGCAACCATTTACCATTTACATTATCATATGTTTTTATTTATTTATTTATTTTTTTTTGAAAAGGCAGAGACCAGGGTGGTGGGAAACTCAGGGATGGGGGAGGGATGGGTAGACTGTATAAAGCTATTAGGGAATGGATATTGTTGTAATATTTAAAATTGATCAATAAAAAGAGCAGAAAAAAGAAATAGTTCAGAATCTTGAATATTTCTTCGATTTACTTTTTTTAAATTTAGCAAAAACCTTTCTGTTTACTTCCAGGTTTAAATGAAAACAAAAAATCCCAGACGTTTGGCCCACACTGAAAGTGCATAACTATGAAGAGGGTAAGAGCAGCGCACTGACCTTCAGGCTCAGCTTGTCTCTGAATGTGATCAAAGAATTTGGTGTTGCTGGAGAACATGCAGCCGCAGGTGGGGCAGGCGACCAGGCGCTCCTGAGTGTGACTGCGCAGGTGCTCCCGCAGGCGATACTTTATTTTGAAGAAGGCATCACAGCCTAAAATCCAATGATTTAACACTCCTCAGTAAGTTACCAACAGGACAAATTAGTATTCATAAATATTGTAAACTGTTCTGAACCCTTCGAAGTCATACTGTTATGCATTTAATATAATTATTTAATTATTTATGTGCTCTTACACAGTCACAAGATAAATTATACGGTGAGATACAGAATTATTTACATTCAATTCATGTTCCATATCAACTGGCACAATGCCACTTTTTCTTTTCCCATACCAATACTGAAACCATGAATATCAACCGATACTGATGGGAGGGCCACACTGGGAGGGGTACTGCAGTGATCTATAGGTTTGGAGGTGGGGCTGCGAGGGAAACTGGGTGGGCTGGGCTGCTGTGTTTTTATAGCTAACATTAGCTACCAGAAAATATGGAGTGACGGAATCAAACGGCACTTTTGCAACTGAGAGGTCTTATGAGGTTGACGATTTTTCTCTACTACCATCCCCATCTTCGACGAGGGAGGTGTTTCTGATCAGGCAGTGTGTCTTGAGGCTTAACAGTATGTGCCACTAACTCAAGCCACCGAAGAGTTAACGTAGTGCCAGAAAACGATTAGCAGGGAGTGAGAGAAGCGTCCAAATGTAAAACATTCCCTAAAACAGTGACAGCTAGCCTCTAATTATTTGTTCAGCAGGTCCAGGTCCAGAGTCCAGATTTCTTAGATGCACTGAATTCCGAATAAGGCACATCATCTGCGCCTATAGCAGAGTTGAACCAGAGGGGCGCTACGGAGGTGGAACTGACCATGACAAAAATGGTATTTTTACAGTTTGGAAAGATGTGTTCACATTTCAAGCAAGGCTGGTGTTTATTATTATCACAGAACAATGCATTTCAGTTATTAATGAAAAAAAAGATCTTAGGGTGTAGCTACTCTTTAATAAGCTTTAAAGTGTGTCATTTTTATGATCATCTAAGAAAGAAATACGTAATCAACAATATGACAGGACACAGTAGCCCTTATTTATCAAAGCTGTGTAAACAAGAACGCAGATTTGAATGCAAATGTTGAATCAGCTTCACTGTGTGAAATCAAGAGCCAGCCTCCTAGTACCTCATTTATATATCATCTACATGAATTCTAACTAATTCTCATGCAGATGTTTCAGTAAGGAGCCAATAAAATGACAACATTCAGTGGCTTGTGAGCCAATAGCGGTTTGACCAAATTTGACCAAACTTTAAAGTGTTAAGATTACTGGAAAGAATAAAATGTGAAATAAGCAAAATGTCTTTTTAAGACAGTAGAACATATGACTGTGCAGTGTGGTTATTTCCTTTAATTACACCTTTAAACAATGTATTACTGCAGTGTGCGAGATGCTTCTGCACTAGCTGTGTTTTGGATGGTGTCAACGCAAAAAACAAAACCACAATGTGATAGGTCTTTAAACTGAACATGAAACATTTGTTTGTACCAATGTTCATGTAAAATAAGAATGTCTACTTCTGTACTGGATTGCCATGTGCACAAACTATTATTAGTACTTTTATTTTCTTGTTTATTCTTATTACTGGCTTTGTAGATCATATTGATAATAATTTTGGTTAGTTAACTGCTAATCAAGCATGTTTTTTTGTCAGTTTAATTATTTTGCTGAAATTCACACGCACTCCTACCAGACATGAGTTTGACTGTACAGATACGCCACAGATAAAACTGATGAATAACAAACCTGTCAATGAAATGTGTGTGCTCTCATTTTAAAATCAGATCTGACCGTATGCAACTTTGACGAATAAGGGCCAATATGAGTGTGAGGTGTTTCAGGCTAGATTTGTCACAAGGTTTTTTAAGTTCAAACTTTAAAGTGATGAAACCTGGATTCAACAGTTCCAATATACTGTTTTTGATTACATGTAACTTTGATACTTTTATTTCATTTCAATCTATTTTTGGTTGCTCTATTGTTTTATTCAAAATCAGCAGCCCCATAAATACTGAATTTAATTTAATTTGATTTGATAAACTAAGGGACAGAAAAGTCACTTTTTAGCAGTATGGTTTGACATAAGAACATTACTAAGATAATGTAAAATTACAATATAATTTTGCTGTTGCCAGTGGTAACTGTGACTCCTAAGGGTTTTAAAGGATTCTATTTAAATGTACGCTGCCTACCTTTCCAGCTGCAGAAGAGGGCTTGCTGTTGATCGGGGAGCGGCTGCAGCTCTGTGCAGTGTGCATGCATATCAACATGTCTGTAGAACCACTCTGGATTGTTGAAAGAGCTCTGCTGGTACAGAAAACAACTGATTTGCATAAGCAGCCACCACTGCTATTCATTCCAGCCTCTAATGATCAATGATGATTAAAGATAATCATCACAAAGCAAGTCTGTATGTGTCTGAAGAGGTTCATACTAACATCACAGTGCTCCCACTGACACACAAATCCCTCCGAGATGTCAGTGACCAGGTTGTTGCTATGGAGATCCTGAGTGCAGCTGGGGAGCTCTGGGTGGGACTGCAGCAGCTGAGTCCCAATGAACTTCAGTTTGCTGTGGAAGATGTGGAAGTGCGCGTGGGCAACAAGCTCATTTGGGCTTCCCATAGCCAGGAATTCACAGCCCTGCCACAGACATGGGTATTCATCTGAGGGAAAGAACATTTCACACAAAACACCTTCATTAGTCCAGTGTGACAATTAGCAAACAATACGCTGAAGGCAGCTGAGCAATCACCTGTTCTAGTAGGTAAACTGACGATATGTTATTGTCATAACGCACAACATGCTTTTCTGAGTTGATCTTCAGGACTTCTAGAACACTAAACTGCATGTATCATTAGGGTGGGCGATATGACAACATCTATTGTTATTATAATATATTTATGCCACCTTACGTCACAGTATACTTTTCTGACCATATCGTGGATGTTATTAAGTACACAGACCACCTGCATGTTTCAGGAAGCACAGCTTCATTGGTCCTTTTCAACTGTGTTTTCTTCAGTGCAGTAAGAATACAAAAAAATTAAGAACTATTATTAAGAACTATTTTTTGTCTGTTTAGAAAACTGAAAATTGTGATGAGTATCACATCGTGAAAATGCTGTCATATCATATTGTTGCCATATCACCCTTAAAATATGTTAAAAGCTGACTTATACCAATTACAGACTGCCTATAAACAACAACCAGTGTACAGTGTAAGTTTACAAACTTTATTGCAAATAGTAGCTGATTGTATGTCTACATTATGTCGATAATTTTATTATTACTTTTCGTTCTCTTGTTCCTGTTTGAATAGCAAAAAAATGACAATGTTTTATAGCCCTTCAAAACGTGTCACTACTGTTTTTCTGTTATTTTGTGCATTCCAGTTCGCTCACAAAAAATATCGCGAATCCTATCATGTACTATAAAAATGTCATGTACTGTGAAAAAGCATCATAATGTTGCACACTTACACATATCGTTCACCCTTCTGAGCATTTCACAGACAGAGAGAGATCTGCTCTTCTGTCTTACTGACAGCCAGGCTTATGATATGACATTCATTTACACTCATAAATGGAACTGAATGATGCTTAAATCCACTCACCCAGCTCCTCCATCGTATCCCCATCGCCGAGATGCTCCTTCAAATGCTCAGACATGTGATCACTAAGCTCTTCCATAGTGCTCCCCTTAAACGTGCACGAGGCCCACTCACATGCGAGCACCATGCTGGAGAGCTTTCTTCTCTTTGCCATTTCACCTGGAGAGCAGTAACTTACATAAAGTGGTCGTAAAAGGAATTAAACCACAGCATTACAAACTGACCACGCCTGCCTAAGATGGGAAAAAGGGAACTGAGGAACATAAAATTACATAATACCTAAATAGTAGCTGTTAACTTACTAGTAACAACGTGACAGTAAGTGACAGAAGTAGCGTCAGCTGATCATCAACGCTCACGAGACTGAAGTCCTGCTCTCCTATTCTCCAGGTTCTTGTTCGAATTTTCCCGTTCCACCTTAAATGTCACGAGAAGTCAGAATGCAACAGCTGCACCATTTAAGGTGGAACGGGAAAATTGGAACAAGAATCTGGCGGACAAGAAATCGACTTCACCTTCGTGTTACATGCAAAACATAGCTGGTTAGCTAGCCAGAAAATGTGCAGTGAAACATATAAAATAACAACAAATGACACGAGACAAGTATCTCTACTACTAAATAACGACTTTACCGTTGAGTTACTTGCAACGTAATAGCACGAAGTCAGACCACAGACGCTGAACTCCGCTCCTGTGTAGTTCAGTGCTAACACGCTAACCGAACTGACACCAATCCAGACATAAACAGACCGAGCGGCTCGAACGACACAGCAGCGCCGCGCAGCGCGGCGTTAAGGTGAGACCCACTTTAAAACACCGAGCTCGGTCGTGTAGTACAGCAACTGAACATAACTGTTCTGATAAAAGTCCTGTAAACTACAGCGAACTATCCGTCACATCTACCTCAGACTCGTACGCGGGATAATTTGTTTTTCGAGTCGCACTTTGACTGGATCACCAAAAGGCAAATTAAAAGTCCTGCTCTGAGTCTTGCTGCACGGCTCTTTGTTTGGAGACATACAATCAGAGAAGATATCTTAGATATAACTCAAGACAAGCAAATAACTCTATTTCGAGGTATTAATTGTGAGATTTGAAATTAATCTGAGAGGTGTAACAGCAGGGATATTCTTTAGGACGCGATTTTTATTGCTATTTATAGACTTTCTTACTCTGTAAAAAAATCAATACATTATTAAATAAATAATTATTGCATTGTTCAGTGCTTATGTTTAATCATTATTACGTTTAATATATGTCATTTTCTTATCACATGAACAATTAAATAATGCTCTTTTGTATTTTAATGTTTAAAGAAATTACATAAAACATTATTCTAAATAAAGTATTTAAAAAACAATGTACTCTAGTTCTGTAAATGTAGGCCCTGGGTAGAATACGAACCTGTGCCTTTAAGACTTTAATAATAAAGATTTATTTGATTTATATTGTTTATTTAAGAGTTCGTGGTTATTCTAAACTCTTTGCAGCGCAGAAAGCTTAAATCTTTCTTTAAAAATAAAAACAAATGCACGGTATATGTTAAGTAAACAAAGAGTGCAATTTAGATATCTTATCTCTCTAACCAAGCAAACAAGAATGGAGCTGCAGTACTTACACTGACCATACGATGTCGCCATTTTCAACATATTTACTTCACGTTGTTTCCCAGTTTTAATACAAAAGTCATTGCACATTTTATCCAACATTTATCTTCACCAGACCAGAACTTATAAGGGATTTGGGAAGAGGCTTTATATGAATAAGTATTTCTACATAGACATCCTAAACTGATATTCACTGTATTCCTCAACATAGAGCTTAGCTAAATTGTGGAGTTTAGATGGTTTTGTCCATGATTTTCATATTTATTTACCCAAATAATGCTGGCCATTTCTCATTTCAGTCTCTCAAACCTCTTTCCATGCAGCATTTCATGTTTCAACCCTGCTAACAGAGCACAGAGCACAGATATTATTAAATTATTCATTGAATTTGGTAAGGATGAGTGGGTCTGCTGGAGTGAACACTCCTCTCTTCTCCAACAGCAACGTTCATTCATCCACCCTAATGAAGCTCCTCCTTTCCCCAGTCTACTTCCCTGTCTACTTAAAGGCAAAATGTTGTATTCACCATTTAGCACATGTGATGACTCAGACAAAATACTATATACTACTAGCTTCCTATACTTTTCCTATAGGCTGTTGTTAACTTGTCCTCCAAACATTGACCTACAATCATGAAACAAATTTGTATCAATCTAGGCAATTTAGTCCTCAATTTCAACGAAGGACGACACCATGCTATCGCACAGTATTGCATCACACTCTGGATAACTGTAGTGGTTGTACTGTTTTGCGGCAGGATCTTGAGAAAATGAACTGTGCATGTAAGAAAACCTGATTATTACTGACCACAAAGTTCCACCTTTTATTTTAGTTCAAAACATGCCTAATTCAATGAATATTTGATACCCAGATTAAATATTTACACCCAAAAAAGGGCTGTGTTTTGCCTTGACTCACTGTTGGCATCAGACTATGTGATGAGGTACTGTAAATGCAGAGAGGGGAGACATTTTTTCATGCGTAATGCTCTGTTCCTACATCTAAATATCAAGACAATCTTTGTTTTCTTTGTTGGTTTGTTCCATTTGAGGCCCATGTTAAAGTGAAAACAGTCATACTTTATTGAAGGGCTTATGTTGTCCATTCATCTTTTTTAATTTGTGTTTGTGTGGTTTTATGAACTATTTTCATCCTCTTTTCTATTCCTTTTATTACACCGGCTATTTTTTGTCACTGTGCCTGTAAGACTGATATATGTAAATCATGTCTGTTCTGATTGGCTGCCCTATTTTTTGATTCATTTAAAAAATCCGATGTCTAGATCCTCATGCTGCTTTCTAGTGATGTTGGTTTTATTGAAAAAAAAATCTTTCTCACCAAGTGGCACCACATGAACTGTCATCATGTCGGCTGGCGCAGTCAGGTACATTAAAAATTTTAAACCCAGGACAAATTGTCAGACTTCCTCCTCACCCCACTTCCACTTGAAAGCAGCATTAGAAAGGCTGCAATGATACATTTGCTTCCACATAATGTTTAATCATCTCTAATAAATACAGATGTGATATATTTCTACATTCTACATTTGCCGGTTAGCAAGTATCTGCCCCAAAGCACAAAGCAAAAAAAGTTCTTTCTACTTTATTAGGCGATTGCAAGTTCAGTCCCCGGTGATGCCACAGCCATACGTGGCTGGAAGTCCATGAGGCCACTCTCTATCTCTCTTTCTCTACCTCCATCACCCAGCACAACGCTAGCAGCATGAGCTAGTGGGTTAGCTGATGTAACTAAATTAGCAGTTAGCGTTCTCCTCCAAGCGTGCTGAGCTGTCCAACAACATTGCACAAGCAGCAGACTGAAAAGATGTGGCGGTTGGCTTCACATGTCTGTGAGCAAGTGCAAAAGCAAATGCTAGCCTTCAACCTCCCAGCCTGGTGGGATCGTGTGATAGTAGGTAGAGAACAGGGTATAAAAGGTTGCTGTCATCTCATCAGGGGTGTTTCCTTGTCTTTAAACTTCTGTGACACCACTGTGGGAAGTGAGTAAGAATGTTTACAATAGAAGTAGTGATAGTTTGATAGATGGTCATTTTTCACTTTGGCACTTAAACATGAATGGGGGTCATATATAAATGTGTTCATGGTTGTTCAAAACAGGCTGATGTGCAGCTCAGTTTTCATGTAAGCCATGCACTGGAGACTGAATGGTACATCTTGAAACAATGTTTTCATACTACATTAAACACTTATTTCAAAAAAACAAGGACAGTCTGGGTTTCCATGATACCACCCCTTTAAAAGTTATCAAGGACACACAACAAACGTCACCTTTAACTGCTTTAATCGTTTCATTCAAAGCAAGCGAACACCACAAGCACATCACACATACAAACGCATACAGGTTTGGCATCTGGTGGCTCTATGTTGCTCTCTATACAGGCACTGTATTCTCAAATGGACAGCATAGCTTGAAGATAGCACCCAGTGTCGTGTGCACAGCACGTTTGTAGGACAATCCAGGAGGTGCGGGATACCGAAAGGCTGCAGGTTCACACCGAGAGGGGGAACCCATCTCAAGACGGTAATGACAGTACGGCTGCTCAACAGGAAGACTCCTACAGAAGGCATGTGTGACCATGCTCACCTGTAAGAGTCTCAGCCTTTTCTTATGGCAAGAAAGGAGCAGCAGCTTTCATATTCCCCAAAAAGAGCAAACTCTAAAGACCAAAGTAGGAGGCCTATGTTTAGCAGCATTCTTCCATATAGCTTAACTAGAATGATAGCAGGCAGCTTTAAGGTTAAATGAGCAAGTTATTTCTCATTACATAGCATAACACGTATGGGATCACACCTCAATGTTGACCCTTTTGAGAATTGAGAGTGTAAATGGTTTAAGGGGTTAATGTTGTACACTACAGAGACACAAACACACACACACAAAGAGAGGCCGTTTGAGCCTCACATCCTTTCACACTGGAATACCACAATGTGGATTGTTGTGTATAGGAGTAATTCATTTTTTTGGAAGTGTAGCTTGAAAAGTAAAGTGTATTGAAACGACGTCACTGTGAAACATGGGGTGCTATTTTGATTAGGTGTTGATGGACTTGATTTATTAATGCTTTCAGCAGCAGTTTGATGATGTATAATGATGAAACTAGGGCTGGCCTGCATAGTGTTTTACAGGCTTTGAAATACTTGTTGGTATTTCCGAGTACTCAGACACTCTTTCTCAAAATCACCTTTAAAAACAAGAATATTTAGTTCATAATCCACCATAGTCTAAAGAATATTTGGTACGGAAGTTCAAAATATAGTAGGCAGTAGTGATGTATTAATAGTCAGACCGAAGCCCAGCTGTTCGTACACTGTTGCTATAGACGATCATGATTGTATCCCTCTTGTTCACATACAGCTTTTATGAGTCTCACAGACTGTAAGACTGTAACGAATTAGCATTTTATTTATCACCATCACGGTTTTAGTTTTAGTTTGTTGCTTTTCTTATTGCGTTATTTTATTCAGCTTGTTCACAGTTTTCATCATAAAAAGCAGCAGTGAAGGCGACATGCAGGCAGAGTTGAGCTCAGTTATAGCCGAACTACATAGAAGGGGGCAGAGGATTGAGGAGCTTTTGGAGGTACAGACCTGAATGTGAGGAAGACCACTCTGGACATGGTGGTCCTCAAACAGGGTTGAGGCTGTGAGCTCCATGGTTTTAGCGTCACCCTCACCCGAGACTAGTGGCACTATACTTACATATTGGACATGACTCATTCAGAGGCTGCGTGGAGAGCGGTGCAGTCTGTTGCACTCTGAGGTGAGGTGACATGGATGCCTAAACTAAACCAACTATATTTTCCATAAATTAATTAACAATTGCTGTTATTTTTAGAAGCCTTTGCTGTTTACATGTGACATAGTTTTGGCTACAAATTTTGTGGCTTGAAAGACAAAAAGATGAAGCTTCTAAACACTAAATATTGAAACAAATACTAATGTAACAAACGAATACTTGAGTACTCGAATTATTCAGGCCAGCCCTAGATACAGCCAGACCCAGCAATGTATCGTGTTAGTGGAATTGCTTGTTTTAACCATTTTAACATATGCCAATAGCTATAATAAATCTGGCTCTGTTGATGGTATGATGTAAGTACTGTATTTCTTTAATGACTCCGTGATTGTGATTATGGGAAGGAAATACTTGCTAGGAGCCATATGTGTACATTGTATGTGATTCTATGTGATTCTATTGCAGTTACGCCTGTATGACATTTCATAAGTGTTTGCAAAAATGTGATTCTTTCAGCATGACTGGAAAGACCATCATTATTAACATTGTTGACTCTTTTCTGTCTTTACAAGGAACAATCTTTTGTAAGGGCTGAGCACTGCAGGCTCAAAAGCTACATGCAACAATGAATGCCCTTTACTAGTTAGAAGGCTGGTGTGAAGGAAGTGAAGACAGAGGTAAATACAAGAGATTAAAACCATTATGGATTGGTAGTGGTGGAACATTCAAGGCGAACCAAGCTGACAAAATCAGATCTGTAGTCCGCAGTAAAGCCTAAGGGTGCGTTCACAAGGACATTTTGGTATCCATCACTAACACACTTCTTGCCAATGATTTCAAATGAGAACAATGAATTGACAGCCATAGACAACAATTCATAGTAACGCATGGCAAACTCTGCTGTCCAGTGATAAACTTCACCTCTAAACTTTTGGCAGACTGTACTGTGATGTGTCAGTCATGAGCTGGTCTGGGGCTTCAGTCAGTCACGTCAAGGAGAAACTAATCACTGCTGTCAACTCACATCCAGAGCTCTACAATCTGAATCTAAAGATCTATGAGGACAGGCTGAGCCTGGCCTTTTTCTCTACCTTATGAAGACGAACAACAACTGGCAGCAGTTTATGCTTACAAAATGTTCATATTTGTATAAGTTTGCTGCCTACAAGAAACCAGTAACACGTTTCAGTGCATTTTTTTACTGATACCAAAATGTCCATGTGAAAGCATAACATAAGGAAATTGGGCAATAATAAATGGAGTCAACTATAAGGGAGTGAGAGTCCCTCTAATTCCTAATGCAGACCCCAACCCCCTCCTGCCCCACCCCACCCCCTGCTCCCCTAGCCAAATCTACACCCTCAAAGTGCACTTAATCTTTTGCCTCAGCCAGTCTGTTGATAATTTCTTTACTCTTCTTGGTGACGCCTCCCTCTGGCTTTAATTCCACGTTGCTCACTGAGGTTTTCTTCTTGGCAGGTTGGGCAGCAGTGACTTGCTTCGCTTTAGCCTTATTCACTGTTTTGCTATGGCTTGTCGTCTTTTTTGGTCTTGAGCGGGACACGCTGGGCCGCTCCACCTACGAGCACAAAAATCAGATATTTCGTTCAAAACATCACCTGCAAACAGACATAAGAGCAATGATTCAGCCATAAAGAGAGTGAAACATATTACATATGATAGTTTACCTTTCAAATCACAACTAATTTTGTGACCTAGTGGCTTGCTAGTGTGTTTCAATGTGAGAGACAAAATCACGTTAAAACATTTGTACCATTCTGAATTATTTTCACCATTTTTGTTAGTATAGACATGGCAGTATTTTGTGTTACGGTATGATGTTTCTGGGCCCTATTTCAACAAATGCAGATGACATTTTCAACGCAAGAGAGAATAGTTCAGTGCAATGTACTCAGTGGTGTAATCTAATATAAAGCATTTTGTATGACTGTAACAGACTCCTGAGTAAAACAAATACTGGTTTATTTAAACATGACATTGTTGTGTTGGATTAACCTGATTGATCTGTTATAACCATAGTTAATCTAACCAAAACAAACTATTACAAAGTGTCCACATCTTTGTCCTGCATTTTATTTTTTTTCCTGAGGTCCACCTATGATGTTTATTTAGTTGCGTATAAGTCTTTGGCATGATGTGTATTTTTTGTGTCCATCATTTTCTCCAAAAAATATTTATTAAATAAATAAGATATCTATCAAGTTGTTCAATAATACCTTTTTTATGCAAAACAATTTCTATTGCATCCATATAAAATTCATTCTAGTTTCTTTTTGCCTCCAAAAGTCTAAAAATGACAGGTGGTGCAACTGTCCAACCATGTATGTTAATTAAATAAACTCAAAAAAGGTAATTTAGTAAAAATCTAAATAAAATAGTTGAGGGGTCAGTGTATTGCATCATAAAGAAAACCCCAAGTGACATTCATGGTACAATGCCAAGGTCAGTAGCCCTTTCACAAATTTAGGAAAAAATGTTCAGTTTAACATGTCAGGCAGTATACACACACATATATATCCTTTATAATAGGATTTTCAAACATTTTTTGAAAACCTTATTTGTCATTGACCCATATACTGAGGATAAAACTACTTGTACTGTGCCATTTGGCTGATATATATAAATGAGCTCTGTTCTGATTGACTGCACTGAACTGTGCTTTATTCTAAAAGGAGTTTGGGCAGAAACACTCCTTATAACTTTAGTATGAATGGGCAGGGCTAATGCTATAGGCTGAACAAGCAGATATATGTAAATTATTCATTTGTTCATAACATCATAAACACAATAAGTAAAAAATGGGCTGTTTTGCAGCTTTGTTTCTATATATGGACTATATGGACTGGAGAGCTGGCAAAATTGTTTTCCATGTATGAGCCTTTTAAACAAAACAAAAGAGAAAAAAATGGATTATAAAATCATTTGCATTACTCTTAAATGCACGCAAACTAATAATACACAGCAGGTCTGACATAAAACTGACCATCTACAGCAGCGAAGCTCACATAGTAAAAAGCATCTCATCTCAAGGCATAAATCATTAACGGTCCGTGAATTCACTTGAATAACCAACTATCTTGCGTAAGCCATTTGCATCAGTTCAGACTGGCAGGAAAATAGGGCCCATTTCTTGTGAGCAGTGTTTCCTAATGCTGCTACTGTGGACCCACAGAACTGCACAGCTTAACTGTTCCCTGCCTCAACACACCTGATCCACATTCATGGGCTAACTAAAAAGCCCTTCATTAACTGGATTATGCTGAGGCAGGGAATAGTTAATCTGTGCAGTGCAGTGGTTCCCCAGAAGCAAGTTTAAGAAACACTGCTTTAGACTAATGAGAATGCCACTTTGTGACGTGCAAATAAATGAATGGTGTTTAAGACTCATCTTCACTGTGAAGAAGTTGAGCATTCATAAAGTATTCAAAACCATCAGCACCTCTTTGCGTGCATTCAATCCTCCCGCACAAGTGCTAATCCTGAACTGACTAGCATTCATCTCAGTAGACTGAAGTCTTTGGGACAATTACTGCTAAAACCACCTAAACATACACCATTGCACTCTCCTATTCATCGATAACTCTCTACTTCTATCCAGCTTTCCAACGATAAATCCATCCACGCATTCAAATATCCATCCATTCATCCACTGGGTGCAAATTAAGAGGGGAGGGCGTAGAGGGGTTGTCTAATTAAGACTAACTCCCCCTAAAGGAAGTAAAGACAAAAGGTTAGGAAGTATACACACAAAACTATTTTATATATTAAAAAATATAAATGTTGGAAAAAATATTGATACATGTGACTCACAGATGTTTCTTGTTACCCAGGCGTGGCCTGTTAGATTGATTATTTAAATAATTAATAGCTCTGAAGGTCTACTTTTTATTTGAGCCCTGGGTTTCGCCTGTGAGGACTACATTTGTTGTTAAAAAGGATTACCAATATAAAGACCAGAGAGCTTCTATGGGAGAAAAGCAAGCCATTTTGAAGCTGAGAAAAGAGAGAAAATAATCAGAGCCATTGCACAAGCATTGGGCATACCCAATTTGGAAGGTGCTATAAAGAAAGAAACCACTGGTATACTAACAACCAGTCATTGAGCTGGTTGGCCAAGGAAAACTACAGCAGTTGATGATAGAAACATTGTGAGAGCTGTGAAGGAAAATCCAAAAAACAAGAGTCAGCGACATCACAAACAACCTCCACAAGGCAGAGGTATCGCAATCCACCATTCACAGACAGAAATAAAGAGGTCATACCACAAGATGCAAATCACTCAACGGCAATAAGAATCAGAATGTCAGATTAGAATTCACAAGAAAATACAGAGAAGAGCCACAAAAATTCAGGAACAGGAGTTTTATGGACTGACAAGACCAAGATTAACCTCTACCAAAGTGATGGGAAGGCCAAAGTGTGGAGAAAAGATCTGCTCATGATCCAAAACGTACAAGCTCATCAGTGAAGCATGGTGGAGGTAGTGCCATGACTTAGGCTTGCAAGGCTACTTCTGGAACGGGCTCACTATTCTTTATTGGTGATGTAATTCATGATGGCAGCAGCAGAATGAATTCAGAAGTCTACAGAAACATTCTGTCTGCCAGTCTACAGAGAAATGTATCTAATTTAATTGAAAGGAACATCATTATACAGCAAGATAATGACCCAAAACACACTGCCAACACAGTAAAAGACTTCATCAGAAGAAAAAAAGTGGAAGGTTTTAGACTGGACAAGTCAATCACCAGACCTTATCCCAATTGAGCATGCATTTCAGCTGCTGAAAAGACAACTGAAGTGAGAAACCCCTTTTACTTAACTTTACGAAATAGAAATATAATGTGGGTTAACTGTACATGTTCAAATGTACTTTTCCAGTATGATTTATTGTATTTGTACAGTTAATCTGGTTGCTTCCTGTTGTTTTGACTGTTCATCTCTATTCTCCGCCATGATAAAAATACCATTGCCATCACAACACAACTCAATTTTTACTGCATTGAGAATTTCAGTGTACCCGACTTCACATGGGTCATGTGGTGTCCCTGGCGGGAAATGTATGATAACTAGCTAGTAGTAAAACACTTTAGAGGTAGTTTTTTTGCAAGTTAAACTATGTAAGAGCATTTTGCAAGTAGTTTGCAAGTTAAAATGATTGAAAACATAAAAATGATCCATTCATCCATAAATTCATTCTTCTAAACATTAATAATTCATTCATTCATCCATCCATTCATTAATCCATTATTTCTTTGCAAGTAGTTTGTAAGTTAAAAGTGCTGAAAATGTAAAATGACACATTAATTCATTCATGCATCCGTCCATAAATCCATTACTTCTTACACAAAACCAGCTTTGTTTCCTGGTTTCTACATTACAGTAGCCCTAAACACTGTATCTGGCCTCTACACGTCACATTTGCGGGGGGATTGAATCAGACCCACTGTGAGTGGTCTAATCATCTCAGTCATGGTGCTGTGTGCTGTGGTGAGATGCTCCAGGTCCTCCATGCTTTGCGTAAGAGACATAAACAACACACCTGACTACAGTAGACTTAGAACAGAACTGCTGTCACTGTCTGAACAGTCCTATGAGGATGAGAAGAGGGACTACATAAACACATACATACATGTATGCACAGTCACTGCCCTTGTTTGATACATGCATACAGAAATACTGCTATGAAATATCAGCTAATTATCTTAATTTGTGGTAGAGGTGACTGTTTTCAATGGAAAGAAATTTGTTCTGAGTCTGAAAAACTAAAGTATGTGTCCATGACTGGCTAAGGCATTTCTGGCACAGAATCTGCCCCAGTTTTTTGAACAACAATCTTTCAAAATGCCACAAAACATTAACTACTAACATTTACACTCTGAAAGATATCTCAAGACAGTTCCTTGAGGTAGCTATGGAGTTAACCCTAAAGATTTATCCAAAAATCTAACTTACACAATTTTCCTCTTTCTCCAAATGTCAGCCAAGACACGTTTGGTGTCTGAAGTTTGTTTTTTTTAATAGTTTTGAACTAAGGCTAATATATCTAACAAGTAATGGATGTACTTTTATCAATTTTTATAGATAAAAGTATGTCATACAGTGTCAAAAACCCCATAAGCAAGTCTATTTGGGATTAACTAGCAACTCATCATAGTTGTGGCATAGGCTTGCAATTTGCATGAAGCTAACTGGCGTAACCTTCCATTACATTAGGCTTGTAGCTACAGTGCAAAACTAAAGAAGCAAACTTCAGACACCAAACATGTCTTGGCTGATTGAAAAAGGTAGGTAAGTGGAAAAGAGTTTAATTTTGATTTTTGGCCAAAGCATATCTTTAAAAATCAATAAATAAACCACATACAGAAAAGTATTGCCATTACTGCAATACATGAACTTCATATTTAGTTTGACTAGATTTAGCAGACAGTGGCGGCAACATGTCCATACCTTGCTGGGTTCTTTGCTGCTAGGCTCACTGTATAGGCTGCGTATCCTCCGCCGCTCCAGCACTTTGTTGTCTGTGGCCTGTGGCTTGACCTGCTCCCCCTTAAAGGTGGCACTGTAGCTGGTCTCCAGACTGGCCTTTTCCTCAACCAGCAGTTTGTACTGTGATTTGGCTTTGATGGGTTTTACTGGCTTGACGTCAGTGTAAGCCTTGAACTCTGTCCTGAAAGAAGCACCAGGAGAACAATATATGGGGTTCCAAATACTGCACGGTAGAGAACATAGTGAGAAATAGGGGTGGGCAATATGACAATATTTTATCATTATCGTGACAAATTATGTCACAGTATGCTTTTCTGAGCATATCATATATATCGTCAGTACTTAAAGAACACTGACTAACTACATGTTTCATTACAAAGGGAGCATAATTTGGCCTGTTTACTGGATTTAGTGTAGCATAGTTTGTAAAATACTGAATAAAGATTATTGTAGTTGCAGGTTTACTATTATTTTAGTATTTTATGTGGCACTACAGGTTCTCAGAAAAAATAAATATTGTGATGCATATTGTGTATCGTGAAAACGTCTAACTTGTATACCATCGTTATATAATATTTTTGCCATATTGTCCACCACTAGTGATTTGGAGATGAAGACTACGAAAAAGAGCTGTAGTCCATCAATGATGATCATAAATCCAAAAAAAAGTTCTCCATTTTGGAAAAGAAGACTGAGAAATTTTGCTTGACAACAGATGGACCACAGTCTGTAATTGTGCACATATATAGAGGACCTGTAAGGTAAGGGGGGGTAGTGAGTGTAAGTACAAGGTAGGGAAAGTGGATGATGAGTGTATGTGAAGTATAAGAGAGAAATATGAAGCTATGTGGTGCTTAACACTCGTCTATAATGTGAAGGGCATTTCCATTTATGCAGCAAGAGCTTCTAAAGGACAAGAACTGTATGGGCTTAAAAGCCAGGCATGACTCATCAGATTTTAGGACAAGGATACAGAGGGGCAGCTGATTTCAGCTCAGTGGATTAGGCCTATGTGCCACATCTGTAGAGATCCTTAAAGATAGATTAATGCAGATCAGGTGCACCACTGTTCAATTGAAATAATGCTTTTTAGTTAGCACAGCAATTATGAGTCCTAATCTAGGGAAACATAAATGATGATTGAACTGAACTGTGATTTACTGGCTAACCCATCTATCACTGTAACTGATATGCTAGGCTAAAGACAAACAAAGAGAGACTGTGAATGAAATAGGAGCCCTAACAATCGGAAGTGGAATGAAATGAGAACACATTAATGACTAGAATCTCCATTTGCTTGAATCTAAGTAGCCAACTAACAAGTAGAAATGATCTCAATGAGTGTCAGTGACCATTTTCAACCCAGCGAGGCTGCATGAACTATCGTATTAGTAACCCCTCTAAGAAAAGGCTCATTATTTAGCTATGAAACTTATGACATGTTATGTGGTATAATGATTTATTCAGCTACTATGACTGTGAAATATATAAGCTATGTAGAGAACCAGTTGTAGCAGAGATGTTGTTGTGCCGTCCTCCTTTGTTCCGTCAGAGTAATACCGGAAGTACGGGACAGCGGCCCGAGTGCCGGTTCTTTTTAGCTTAGTTAAATCTTTCATTCATTCATTCATTCATTCATTCAACCTATATTTAAACTCAGAACTATACTGGCCGTATTCACAATATAGCCAAGTAAAAAATGAAAATATAAGAAAACTAGGCTTTAAGTAGCACAAAGAAAGAAACTTAGGTAAATGGAAATCATTAAGTAAAATAATGAAACAACTAAATTGGTAAAATAATAAAAACTTAAAAATAAAATATAAAACAATTGCATCAACTAAAACATGAACAAACAGAAGCGAAATAATACAAAATTAAAAGTTTGAAGTGCCCTAAGGATAAAAATGAGGTAAGCTTTAGATTGTTCTGCATTTAATTCCAGGTTACAGACACACAGTAAATAAAACTGGGTTTTTTTTTACATTCAGTAAAAACAGCCGGCACCTGCAACAGAATTAAATCATTTCAGTGTGTTCTGTAAGGGCCTGCATTAAAAGACAACAATTAAGAGACATAAGGAAGTTGAAAACAAGCAAGAGCCTTATAAATAAATAAAATCCAGTGTCTACCACGCCTTACAGAGAGAGAGAGCCATCCAACCTTAACATACAGCTGACAATGATGAGTATTACGATTGTCGCATGTAATAAACCTTAAAGCAGATTGATAAACAGAGTACAAGGGCATAAGCTGAAAGATGCATGTATAAAATGTCATCACAGTCCAGGACAGAAGGTCAGCTGCCTCAATAAGCATCCTTGTACAATGCAGAGAGAAGCATGTTTTCCTAAAAATAAGCCAATTTTTTACTTAATTTGCTCACAAGATACGATATTTGATATCTGATATTTATATATAAATATATCTGATGTTTTATATATAAATATTTGATATTTATTTGATATTTAAAGGATATCTTCTCATCAATCCATATTCCAAGATACTTGTATACTGTGACTCAATATTTGTACTACTTTTGGTAGAGATGTTGAGCTGATCATAGTCAATATTACTGGCTCTGGAAAATAACATGAATTTAGTTTTATCTGCATTAAGAACTAAATTATGCTTACTGAGTGCAACATGTGAGTCATTAAAGCAGTACTAAATGAATTTAACAGCAGAGTGTACAGTATCTACAGAACATTACAAGACTGTATCATCAGCACAAAGACGCACATTACATCCAGTTACAGAAGAAACAATATCGTCAATATAATTGTAAATAAAACAGGCCCCGGAATTGAGTCTTGTGGGACACCCTTAATAATCTGCACAAATTCAGATTCAAAATCTCCCAGCCACACACTGCTGTCTGTCCATGATGTAAGTAAAACAATTTATAGGCAATTCCATCAAATCCACTTCTAAGAAGGCTTTTTAAAGGTAATGAGTGATCCACTGTATCGAATGCTTTTGAAAGATCAATAAAAAGGGCCGCGCAATGCTTCTTTTTATCTAAAGCTAAAATAATGTCATTGAAAAAACAGACTGATGTATGCTCAGAATAGAATGTGCTGAGATGAATGATTTAAGCTGATTATTTACTAGAGATTCTGGTATTTTTTGCCAAGCATGGTAATTTGGAGATACGCCTGTAATTGTTGAGGCTAGATAGTCCATCCCCTTTATGTGAAGGGGGTAACATAAGCAGCCTTCCAGACCTTAGAAACTATCCCAGTTAAAACTAAAAGACTAAAAATATACTTTATGTAGCTGACTACAATTGCAGCAGCAAAGTTTAAAAGATAGGGACTAAGTTTGTCCTCACCAACCAATTTCACTGAATTTATAACTAGTAATGAATTAACCACGTCACTAGAGGAGAACGGCTGTAAATTGAAAGGAGGCCTTGGCATTATGTGGACATGAGGATCAGTAATGGATGAAGCAAGGCCTGCATAAACTTCATTAAGTAATTTGCCAGCTGATGCAAAATGATCATTAAAGCTACACAAATCTCATTCTGATCTGACATTGAACACCCATTGGCTGTGAGGGGGGACCGTGAAGGAAGACTTACAGTTAAGAGAATCCACTGCATTGCAGAATTTTGCTGGTTTGGAATGTGATTATAGAATTAAAGCAGATAATTAGATTTAGCCTTTCTTATCGCGGATGTGCATTTGTTTCTAAGCTGCCTAAAAGCAAGCCAATGACCAGGATTACCAGTATGTGGTATTTCAGCTGTAAACCAGGGACTCTAACCTATTTTGCGTGTGATAATCTATCGTGATAAGTTGTGCACGCTTATCAACTCCTATATTAAAGGATTTACAAAAAATGCCAAGAGCTAATTCAACATCAGGAATTTTTGCAGTATACTGCAAAATCATTAAAATCTTAAAATATCCATGATCTTAATTATATTGATTCCTTTTATGCTCCTATAACCATGAAAAGTGTATTTTCCAATTTGTCCAATTTGTGGTCTTCTCTTTTTACTTCTTGGAGTACATTACATCAAATAAATTATTAATGGGTGCTAAATTACACAACATTGATTAAATATTGAGTATTACAGTATTAGTACTGAGTTTACAAATAGAGGAAATTGGAAAAACATCAAGAATCAAACTTCTGAAAAACTGTACACCATCTTACTGAAACAAATATTATTTCTCACTTAACTTAAGCTCAAAGTTCAGGACAATCTAACAGGAATGTTCCTCCGCTCTCCTCCAATTGGACAGGCTTAACTTTAAGATTAAGTTATCTGGCTAAACTGAGAAATCCTGCTTTGTGAAATTCCCCCTGCTTCCCCTCCTCCTCTGCATAATTTGTTTTCCCTACTCCTACACACCTGAGCTACACTGTTAGCTAATAATCCCTCCTTTCTTGAGCTAAAAGGTGTGCAGAGCAGATGAAAGCACAAGAACAGACAGTGCAGAAGGTCAGCTACAGGGCAAAGTGTCAAAGCCTGTCCATTGTCCACGTCGCGTTTAAAACGTTGCTATAAGAACAGAACATTCATAACCAAGTTGTGTACAATTTTTTTATAAAAGAAATGTTGTATTACAATTTTCAATATCGCCCATAATTGCCGCTGTTCTGTTATGTGTCTCAGCACATAAGTCACTCTTCTGCTGTGTGTACCGGCACTCAGGCCACTGCCCAGTGTGACGGAACAAAGGGGGATGGCACAGCAACAGCTCTGCTACAACTCCTACTGGCTATGTAGCAGGACTGCATCATATAGACACTATACTAGTATTGTGATTACTTTGCTGCTTGTTGCGATACAATATGCAGGTACAACCATCTGGAACTGTTATTGGTCAGGTTGCTTATAGCACACAGTGAAAAACACAGAGGTTAGAGAGCTCATTTGCATACTGCAGCCTTCTGCGAAATGAGCTAATGCAAAGAGCAATATAGTGATAACAATTAACAATGTATTGCTCAGCCCTATTATGTAGATGAGGAGCTGAAGTGTGGACCCACATATGGAAACTGCTAAGGGTAGTAGTGCCCAACCCTGCTTCTGCGGATACACCACCCAGAAAAGTTTAGCTCAGGTTAATAAAGATCCATTTAATGAAGGCCTTCAGGAACATCTGAATATTAAAGCCATGTATGTTGAAACTAGGGGTGGGCAATATGACAATATTTTATTGTTATCGTGATAAATGATGACATAAAAAACTCAAGACTGACCAACTGCATGTGTCATTACAAAGAGTGCATAATTAGTCCTGTTTAGTTGGATTTAGGGCTTGAAATGTTGAAAATCACTGTATAATCATCGTGTTTAACAGTATTTTTTAACCCCTTAGATGGCCAGGGCCCACTGGCAGGCCCTATGTTTTATTACATACTTCTATAACCTAGGAATAGCTCAGCCAGCTCAGTTACTGAATAATAAGCCTTAATATTTAATAACTCTGGAATTTTAGGGGGTTAATTTTGGCACTGCCGGGTATTTTTTCTCTATTCTAACCTATCAAAAACCTAATATCGTATAAAACCTATATATATATATAAACCTATATGCATCGTGTATCGCGAAAACATTTTCAAGTATTGTGATGCAGTATTTTGGCCCTATCGCCTACCCCTAGCTGAGACTAATCTCTCCTGTATGGTACATGACCAACACCGAGGCTGGACACCCCTGAAGGTTTAATTATGTCACAGCCATTAAAAATGTTGATAACCACATTTACCTGTACGAGCTTCCGGTGGACACTTCCTGTTTAATCTGCCTGTTTACAGCATCCGCCGTTGATCTTCCTTTGGCCTCCTTCTCCTGCTTCTCCTTCTCCTTTTCTTTACTCTCCTTCTCGTGCACCCTCTCCTCGATCTCGCACTTCTCCACGCCCGTCTCGCGCTCCTCCTCGTGCTCCTTCTTCTTCCCTCGCTTGCCCTGCCCTGCTTGCCCTTTGGGGATCCAGGGGTGGTCTCCTCTCTTTGGGATGGGCCACGGCCTGTAGTCTTTCTGGTACTGGGTCTCGTCTGCAAACGGCGCTCCTGATGGTCTGTACTCGTGCTTGGGCTTGCAGCTCTTCTCAGGCCGGACCCTCCAGGCCCTAAAGTCCTCGTGCATGACACTGGAGGCGCTGGGAGCCGCCCCGTCCCGCCGAGCTGCCTCTGCTGCACCTCCTCCGGCCTGCGGCCCGTCCGCCACCTCCGAGTAGCTGGAGGAGAAGACCAGCGGCACGGCGATGTCCGCCTTGTCCAGCTCGCTCCACAGGCGGCTCATGCAGCACGCGCGCGCGATGCACGGCCACGCCATGACTGCAAAGAAAAGGGCTAACAGAGAGAGAGAGACAGAGAGAGAGAGAGTCAGACAGCGGGCATCAGTAGAGCTCCTCCAGGCTTCGTCTTGTCGTTTGTCGAAGCGCTGCTGCTGAGCTCGGGCTGTGTGAGCGAGGCTGCAGTGCAGAGCCGCAGACAGAGAGGATGGAGCAGCTGTAGCTCTGCAGGGAAGCAGCACCTGCAGCAGCAGAGGAGGAGGAGGAGGAGAAGGAGGAGGAGGAGGAAACGCCCGGAGTTTAACCCTTTACTGGAGGAGAGAGATGCGGGCTGTCTGAGTGTTCACAAACACAGACCTCTGCTTCATTTCTCTATATTGTCTCGTAAAAGTGATTATGGTGATTAAAAGTGCAGATGTGTTTTACTTCAGGTTTCATTTTACGAGCAGCTTTATACACTATGTCTATATATAGACTATGTAGATGTATTCTGCTCTATATTCTGGCATAGAACGTTCATTCATTCATTTCAAGTAATCCTGCACCTTTTCTACTGGTCCATTCATCATGAAATGTTCACACAATGTAAAAAGGCTGATATTATGTATGTATTTATAAACACATGTACACACACACACACACACACACACATATATATATATATATATATATATATATATATATATATATATGTGTGTGTGTGTGTGTGAAGTTATTCTCAGTCCAGCAGTGACTCTGAGGTGTTTATAAAGTCCAGCAGCACTGCTGTGTCTGATCCACTCCTACCAGTGCAACACACACTAACACACCACCAAACAAATAATAACTGCTCTGTGGTGGTCCTGTGGGGGTCCTGAATTTTGGAAAAACAGGGTAAAATGGAGCTGATACAGAGAGAGTGAATGTGAGAGTGAGAGCTGTTACAGTACTGTGAGTGAATGTGGGAGTGAGAGCTATTACAGTATTGTGAGAGTGAATGTGGGAGTGAGAACTGTTACAGTACTGTGAGAGTGAATGTGAGAGTGAGAGCTGTTACAGTACTGTGAGAGTGAATGTGAGAGTGAGAACTATAACAGTACTGTGAGATTGAATGTGGGAGTGAGAACTATTACAGTACTGTGAGAGTGAATGTGGGAGTGAGAGCTGTTACAGTACTGTGAGAGTGAATGTGGGAGTGAGAGCTATTACAATATTGTGAGAGTGAATGTGGGCCAGCTAATCAACCACACACTAAAACTCATCCACAACTCATAACGCGCCTTCAGAGCGAGGGCTGTATCTGCACAGTGGACTCGCAGACTGATGAATCACAGCCTTATTCTTTTGTTTCCTTCTTACATGAGAGACACTCACCATCTAGTGGTGCTGGACATCATAGCAGCAGAGAGAAATCTAACATGACATGAACATTTCATTTTAATATTGGACTCTAACTTAAAAAAACAGTACCACAAGTAGAATAGAGTTGAAGCTTAAAAGAATGAAAGAATAATAATAATTTTACACAGTCAACATAACTTCATCGTTACCCAAACACAGAGTGCAGGGCAAGATCTAACACATCACTCTTCTCAGTAGAGTTTTTTTATAGGCCACTAGTGAAAAAAATTCTTAGTCATTGTAGGATCATCTCATAGCGGTTGTGCAGCCGGTCCTCAAGGCTTTTGAAGACGGTCCACATTTTTCCTGTTTTTTTCCCATTTGTCCTAGAAGAAAGTTACCCCACTGCCCAGAAAGCTCTTTTTAATTGCTCACTGCAGGTCAAATATGAAAAGTAAATGGAAATCCTGGCACACTGTTCAGCTGTAGTTAATTTTCTTCTGTTTTACTGTTTCATTGGCATGCATGTACAGGGGTAGAGGTGTATGGAATGCAGAGGTGGGAAGAGTAGCCTTAATCAATACCTTAAGTAAAAGTATTGATAGTAAAATGGTGGATGGTAAAATAATGACACGATGGAAAGCAAACATACCCTCCCGAATAAACAACTCGTGCAGAAGTACAAAGTATTGGGTCAAAAAACTGCTTAAGTATTTAGTAACTTATAGGACTACAGTGCAACCTCTTAGTAAATCCAGCAAGTATTGCCATAGGAAAAGCATTATGACGTAAAAATACACAGGAGAGTACAAATCCACCAATATTTTACTTAAGCAAATCTAACTAGTTATCACCCACCTCTGCATACACGCAAGGAGAAAATTACTTTAAAGGGGAATTCTACTAAGTTTCTGCACAAAGCAATCATTGGTGTCTGGTGCCAGATGCAAAAGCCATTCAGAGTGTTTCAAAGTGAAATGGTTCACTGTAGAGAAATAGAACTGCTCCTTTGCAGTGCTTGTGATATGAACCAGGGATTGTGATTTCTGCAACACAAATACAGCCATTTAATTTACTATCCAAAATGAGCAGAGAATTCTGAGTTTTTATATGTAATGTGTGGTGCTGAAGTAAAACCAGATGTTTTCACCATTGAACAGAAATGAACTGAAACATGACATTTGAGCAGAAAATGCTCAAACTTTACATCATGTGGCTTTTTCTTTGAACTGCTTAATGCCAAACTGTCATTTTGTCTTTTAAGCCCATTCATTATGTTACTAGATGTTGATTAGTGGGATCAAGTGTGTTGTAGCAGGAATATGTGCACAGCAGGAGGCCTCAAGGACCATTTTTGGAACCACTGGCTTATGGGACTGAGTCCTGTAAACAGCAAATAATCAATATCAGATCATCTAGGCCTGCATTCCAAAAACTATGATAACATTTTATTCCAATTGAGTCACAAGTTATTCTGTTTAAAAAACTGGCTGGAAGATTGGCTCCCTGCACACAAAGAAATGGCAAATTTCTGAAGCATTTAGCTCCCTCACTGAAAGTTATTACATGAAATGGTTACGAAAACACTGCCTGATACCTGAGACAAAAAGCATAAAACATTTTTAAAACCAATTAATGGCAGAGAGAAACAAGCAGGACTTAGTAAAACAGCCCCCAAAGAACATTTATGTTTCTACCATTTTAAAAACTCAGAAGTAGATTCACTAGCCATTCACTGGCCATATTTGTATTATAGACCTTGAGATCCCTGGTTCCCATCACCAGCACTGTAAAGAAATCAGAAGCTGGGCGATTCTCTGGATATATTCCTTTTGCCTGGGCCGGGCATTTATAAACACACCTTAAGACATAAAGCACTTCAGTAAACAGTTTAGATAACACAAGAGTTTGAGCCTCTTACACTAATAGGTGACTTTAAAAATTCAGGCTCTCGTAACACACCAATAACCTTGTAAGTAATATGATCTCAAAAAGCTGTATTAAAATTCAGAGTCTTTTATTTACACTTTAAATTAAGTGGAATATTACTGTTTGTATTCAAACAAAGAGAATGCAACATTTGTCATCTTGTCCGAGACTTTTCAAGGAGCTTTTTTCACTCATTAGTCCAATTTCACACATCAAGTTCCGATGCACCACTTTATCATCTCAGATGAAATCTGCAAGTCCAAACTAAGAGCAGTAAAAATGCAGTTCATTTTGTAACACGAGTCAGCGAAGTTAAATGCAGCAAAACCTATATACAGAAATTACAAAAATATAACTGCTTTCAACCAAACCTCTGAACAGGCTGTTTTAGATGAGATTTCCAAAAACGGAGAGACAGGCTACAAGTTAAGTCTTTGTAGAGCTGCCATTTTTTAATCAATTTCATCCTCTGGATAACTTTTGATGTAACATTCAACCATTTCCTCTAGATCCATTTTTATGTGATAATTGATATTTAACACAGCCAGATTCTTTGACCTGTGGCTGACCGGTGTGTCTAAAAGGTAAGCCTGTAAGCGCTTCTGACCAGTCTCTCCTTGATCACTCCCAAGCTTTAATACAGGTAAAGAGGCCAGAATTTTCAAAAATGCATTGACGTTTGGGAAGAATTTGACATCTGAGTGATGTAGAGTCTCATGAATGGTGCACGGCAGGCTCACTTCCTTCCCCCTGTGCTTCCATTTGATTCTCCAGCAATGCAGCTCTGCGGGCAGCGTGTCTGGCTGGGGAAGGTCACTCCTAAAAACGTCCGCATGGGCCTCCTCAGATGTATTGAACTTCATCTGGCCCATGACTGCAGGAACAAGAGACAGACACTTGAGAGCTTTGAGGTGGTTCTCCGAGAAGATGTCCTTAACCTCCTGAATGATGTAGTCCATGACTGGAAGGGTTAGGTACTCTTTGAAGAATGACTCGGCCTGTATTTCCACACTTTCCATTGCTTGCTGCTTCCTGAGGAACAGCCTTGGGACTTTGACTGGGATCTCCATAGCGGTAGCCAGGTTCACGGCTTCCTCGAACCAAAATTCATGGTAAACCTCAATATTGTCTATAACCTCATGCAAAGAATGCAAGACGGCTGTCAGACTGCTGGCTGCAAAAAACACATCCAGTGTCTCTCCTTGTAAGTTCTTGCCAAATGCTCTTGTGAAGGAGAGAGCGTTCTTAAGTACAACCAGAGTGACGACAAATTCAAAGTCTGCCAAAGCCTCAGAGATTGTGTAAGCATCGCTTGTGATTTCGTCGTTCCACTTCAAGTCTTCGTTGTCATGTACACTGTCCATGCAGAGCAGAAGCGGCTCTAACAAATCCACAGCCATCTCAAACACGTTATGCAGGTCCATCCAGGTTGCACGACAGCTCTCCTTAAGATCATTCCCTTTCTCCACATTGTCCTGACAGAGAATGGAGATGGCACTGTCTAATTCAGCCTGCAGGAGCGGAGATGCCTTAAAAAATGCGTCCGCCTTCTTCAGAACTGACATCACAACCTGCACTCCAGTCAGGGGGATGCTGTTGGCTAGGTGAACGTTAAGTGCACAGGTAGAGCAAGGGGTATTGACGGCCATGGGGTATTTCTCCATAAGCTGGGTGGCTATGGCCTTCATTCTACTGCCAAGCACACCGGAGGCAGCATGCGCTTGGCCTCTACAGTGTTCCATACTCAGCCCCCATTGCTTTGTGACGTGAGACTCCAATGTATCTGCCGCAGAAAGCTCCTCTCCCTCAAACAAGAGGAACTCTATGAACTCCTCCCTAAGAGTGTTGGTTTGGTCCACAAAACGCAAGAACACTGGGATGTGCTGGCCATCTGAAAACTCCACCAGCTCCCCAGTCACAAGTGAAAAAAAGCGACTTTCTCTTACTTCCTGGAGAAGCTCCTCCCGAACACATCTTTCACAAACGTCCAGCAGTTTCCTCTGCTGTGTGGCTGGCCAATATTCCTCATTAACAGCTGTGGCTTCAAATTTCCCTCTCAAGAATTCATCCCCTGCATTAATGCGGTTTTCTAGCAGGGCTTGAAAGGTGCTCATGATAACTGGGTGGCTGTCCTGGTCATCTTTTGAGTGGAAACTCAATGGGAAGCTTTGTTTTCCTATCAAAACAATCACTTCAAACAAAGACCGTAAGAACTCTCTTAATTCTCTCTGGTGTGGTGTTAACTGAGGTACATCATCATTGGTCTCCATGCCATCCTGACTGTCATTTTTGTCCTTTTTGGCCAGCAACTGTTCAATTGAGGATTCCACTGAGGGGAAAAGGTAAAGAAAAGAACAATATACATAAATTTACAGCATGAACAAGATTCTACTGTCTACTGTCTACTGTGTTCTACTGATCTTCTTGAACATAAATACTTACATCTCCTCTCTTTTATCTTCCGGACCTCTTCATCTGTCTATAAGAAATAAAAAAAAAGAACAGGATAAAACAATGTATTATAATAAAAGCAGCATTATTGAATTACAAGTAAAAATACAAATACAAATGAAAAAATGCTCCAGAATATAAGACGGCAGCATCTTCTGGCTATAAAAGATTTGTTAATTCCATTTGTGAATAATGGAAGTAAACATTCCTATTTTCACTTAAAGAAATAAAACAAAAAAATCTATTTGATTCCAACGCTAATAAACGCTAATTTGACTTAAATGTACATGTAATAGTCCTGATTTTCTTGTAAAAAGAATACAAAAACATGTTTCCATTAGGGCACTGTATTAAATTAGTAGGGTACTGTATGAGAAGTTTAATTATCCAAGTAAAAAGCAGAAAAAAATTATTTTAGCATGTCTTTACAAAGCCCTATTTAAGACTTTAAAATCAAACTATTTTTATTGTATTTGTATTACATAAGTCTTGTTAGTTTATTAATCAGTTCTACTATAAATAAGACCTCAGTCTCAGTTAATATATTTCCTGTAAATGAATGAATGAAGGATGTGTGAAAAGAGCAGTTTACCAAAACTTTGATCCGTTTGCGATGTCTGCTATGTGGATTACTGAGGTGGCTGGTTAAATCAAAAATGGTGGGAATAGCTGTGTCCCTCAGCACGGTCCTGTAAGGGCTCTGAAATGGAAAAAATACAATGTGTGCCAATACACAAAGACCACTACTAACAATCTTAAACACGGGTGTTCAGGATGGACGTCCAGCTTCTGAAGTCACGGCTAGACACTCACGGTTTTGCATATCATTGCTGGCTCAAAGTGCTTTGCACACAGTCGGTAGTGTTTGTTCAACTGGTCAGGAGTTTTCTCTTCTAGGTCTGCACGCCGACAGTTCTCCACCCACAGTCTACATCTGTGCATGTAAAAGAGAAGTGCATAGGTGTTATTACACACTGATTCATTTCCAGCAACTGGAGGGTCTAATTAAATTTGAAGTGTTCCTGTAGAGACAGGCTTACTTAGGAAAAAGTGAGCTATTATTAAACCCTTGACAGAAACTGTTTAACACACACAATGAGTGCACCATAGGCACAGACAACTACATAGACTAGTCTGATATGACCGTGTTTACATCATCATGTGTGGAAAAACCATTGAAGAACAGGGTAAGAGGGGACTAAGGGCTAACAACGTATGCAGAGAAACGGGTGGACGACAGTCTGTAACGGTAGAACTACATAGTGCACCTGTATGGTGAGTGGGGCTGATAAAATGGACCATGAGTGCAGACAGAAGTGGTTTTAATTAAGTGTCGTTGTACATTCCTGTACTTAACAAGCTAAGACTGTGTTAGCCGTTACCCTTTAGTGGCCTTTGCTCAAGTCTGTCCAATAAAAAGACTGGCTGGCTGGCTAAGAATGACTTTTATCAGACACAATACCCAGTGACTATCTGAAAGCAGTCGTTTTTCCTTTCATTATCTCCAGCTTTCTTGCTCTTTCTCCGCTGTCCATGCTATAGCCGCAGAGCTAGCTTAACCTAGCTCTTACTGATATCTGACATGTTGGCTAAGAGACGAACTCTCTGTCGTTATTAACCGTTGGTTTGCTGCTCTGCTCTGCTCTTACACTACCACACTGCAGACAGCAGCTCCATCTAGCTCCACATCAACCGGACCGCATCCATTAAACTCCGTATTTCCAACAGAAATGAGCCCGTAAGGTGGACGTACCTCTCAGGATCTCTCGGAAACCGAAAGAAAGCCAAATCAGACTGAGTGCTTTTTCTGGTGCAGTTCGGAGCCGCGCAGAAATTTGGCATTGTGTGTGAAATTAATGTGAGCACGCTAAAAAAAAATACAGTTTTCAGGTCTGAAGCCGTTTCGTGTGAGTAAAAGCTGGTGTTGTTGTTTTATCTACTACATTGCTAACGTTAGCTAACAAAGCGCCAAATGGGAGCAGGGACTGAACTACCGACCCATAATGCAATTCGCCAGTCCCAGTATGCTCCACTCAGCGCCACAAGGCAAAATAAGACCATCATATATTTTCACAAAACCAAAGAAATGACGAGGAATATTATATGGACTGTATACAGAGCATAAAGACGGTAAACGTTTCAGTTTTAGTAAACATTTTGATAAATAGCTGGGCTGAACTACAGTAACAGGTCTGTACAACCAACCGATAGATAACTTTAATATTTGATGATTGTGTTATTACTACAGAAAATGAATATGCATAACGTTGCCATTTTTCCGTTTGAAAAGAATTTTAAGGTATTAAAATTTGTGGTAAAGTTTTGGGCTCGTCCGGGATTTGAACCCGGGACCTCTCGCACCCGAAGCGAGAATCATACCCCTAGACCAACGAGCCGCGCGCTGAAACACCCCCATACTGACTCAATAACGACAAGAAGACTTTAAAACGCGGGTCTGGTTTTACCGTCTGTTATGAGTGCGACTTCATTTAACCAGCTCAGTTTTTAATTAGATAACAGACACTAACAAAGCCGCTGTACAGGAGGGAGTGCAGCTTCCTAATGAGCAGCCGAGAACGACAGTCACAAGAAAAACTCACCAAGAGCCAAAAGCCTGAGGAGCAAACAGAGAGGAACCAGCCTAAAACGAAGCTTAAGTCAGCGCCTTATTCGATTATTTCCGTTCCACCTTAAACGCTGCTGCAGTTACATTCGGGCGCTTCAGAATGTAACGTTAAACACCAGAATGTGACGTTAAACACCAGAATGTGACCGCTGGACCATTTAAGGTGGAACGGAAAAATTCGAAAAAGAAGCTGGAGAATAGGAAGCCAATTGAAGGCTCGTCAGACTAAATCCATCCTCCATCCAGCAACATAACATGTAAGGTTAGTGCCGTTTTACAAGTAACAGTGACACACAGCCAGAGTAAAGATCCTTGAGATGAGCCAAAGACGTAAGCTGTGAAGTAGGGATGCACGATAATATCGGAGTCATATTAGTATCGCAGATAACTGTTAAAAAATATCGGCAGCAGACAGATTAAAACGATAAAACGATATTTGACTGTTGTACTCCAGAAGGGTAGAAGTTTTAGGTGACACTGGACTACTATGCTACAATGTCTTCTTTTGATTAATGTTACAAATAAACAATGTCTCTACAACTTTAATCCCCAATTCTACGTTTCATAAATGTATATTTATCAGCATGAGCATCAGCATTGAAAAATATATACATGGAAATGATTGGATATTATCATCAAACCAGAATTCCCATATTGGCGCATCCCTAATTACAAGTCTGTCAAGAAAACAGTCAGACAGCGATCTGGCAGATTATCAAGTGTTAGACATATATTATGTTCAATATGAGCATATGGCAGATCAATATTAATGCAATCCAGGGCTCAAATTTCTAAAAATATGTAGAGATCACTACAAATCATGACAAAAGTACCGGAGAGACGTGACAGTAGACCATTCATTAAGAAAGTTATGCCTTTAAGTAATTTTAATTTTAACCATGCTGTAACTGAGACCTGCTGCATCAGCAAAGTATGAACCGTAAATGAAGAAAAAGGCACAGCGAATGTCAAGTAGGTTCTTTTTATATATATCATACATAAGACTGAATATAATACAAAGGGCATTTTCATATACACAGCAAAGTCTTGACTAGTTTTACAATCTGTGGACACTTATCCTTTTCCCCATGCTGTTCAGTTATATAGTGCATGTTGCATGTTTTTTTTTTTAAAAAAGGAAAACAAAGTTCAAAATGGCAGCAGAACATTTTAAGAGTGAGAAGTTCAAGTTCTGTGGAAAGGAAAGAAAAGTTTACCTCATAAACACCTGGGCTTTGTTTCCCACCACCACAGCAGCACAACGGCCAGAGCAGTTTTTGGAGGCCTACATAACGATACTCTGCTCTCTAAACAGTTTCTGTTGTGGTGCAATCGGGGTTGGGATACTGAGCTGTCAGTACACAAAGCTTCTCAGAGTAGAAGTGTTGATCTAGACCTAATCTAAACTCCCTCACCATTTACATTAAATACGGTCAGATCCCAGATCAGCATTCCTCCTCTTTTTTTGTGATGCTCTGTGCATGCAGGCTGTGAACCACAATCTTCCTCTGACAAAAGGGCGAACAAACGAAAACCCTTGTGAATATACATGCATACTATTACCCTGTGAAAGTAATCCTCACGTACAAGATTTTTCTCTTGTCCTCTAATAGAAGGCCTACGTTTTTAGTGTCATTCTCAGTGCGCTCTAAATTTTGCACCAGTGAGCCGAGTCAGAGGAAAATAACATTGCTCTTCGAAACGATAACCAAACGCGATTGATATGCCAGCAGGAGTAAATGTAGTGAGTTCTATACTTCCTTTATTAAAAAAATATAAATATATACATAAATTCTATTTCAACTATTAAAAAGGGGCTGCATTTCATGAAAACCGCACTAAATCAGATGTCACTTAGTAACAGCTGAAACAGGTACACACTTAAAGTCTCAAACTTTATTTATTTTTTTTTTTCAATTTTTGATTTTGGAATGTTTTACGTTGAGTTCAGCAAACTGCCGTCTCCCCCCGCCCCCACCCACACCCAAACGGTATTTATAAAAACTATTTTCTTTTTTAAAAGCAATCTAACATTTAGATAAACCATTTTCTCATTACTATTACTTCTTCTTGGGATATGTAAATGTATCAAAGCTGATTACGTTTATAAGAAGGTAGTGAGTAACAAAACGGCAAACGCAACACCACTTTCTGGTACGATAGTGTCCTGCTGACTGGTTTTGAACTGCTAGATTCAAAGAGGTAATAAGCGAGGTGTTGGTCTTAGCTGACACCTAATGCAAAGTGTGAGGGCGGGTGGGAGAACGCGTCGCAACCTCCGTTATAGCATGAAGTCTGGGTGAGATTTCTTGCGCAATTGATATCAATCGCTGAAGTGAGGGGGAAAACAAAAAAAAAGTTCTCTTAAACATGCATGTGCCCAGGCATTCTCGTGTACCCATGTGCCGAGTCATCTGTAGATTCCCTTTGAGTAGCATATGGGAAGCAAGCACCAAACAAAAAGACGTTTGACAGATTTGACTTGGACGTGACGGTAGCTACAGTCAGACTGCCTGAATACTTTGATTCGAGTAGCTACTTTAGTACATAGAAAGGTACAAATTAGCATGTTATTCAAAGTAAGTAGAAAAGGCAGCGTCACCCACTGATTGACAACAAGTACAAAACGGAAATACTTCTCTCTCTGCATCTGTCGCAGATCACTCACTTGCTCTGTAGCCTGCAGAGCAGCAGACAGTGCAGACAGTGTCTTGCTAAGTGATGCTCCCGATTGACATCTTGCTCAATGTAAAACTGATAGGGGTGTTTAACCACATGACAAGCAAATCGATCAACATTAAAAATGTACCAAGTTCAGCAAAAAGCTCCAGTTCGCAATAGTAGTTGATAGACATTTTGTATGGACAAAAGTCGATACTTTAATAAACCTTGCGTTGAAGTGGTGAACTGCTACATTATTGGTTACAGACACCAAGTACTATAAAAAACAATCGCTTTGGTATAAAAAAAAGAAAAGGAGAAAAAAATGGAGAGAGACGATCAAACAGGAAAAAAAACAACAAAAAAAAACAAATGTGTGTAAAATTCACAGCATAATTCAAGAGGAGAAAAAGGCAGTCACGAATTTCAGCACATATTTCTGTACTAAAAATTGAAGAGGCAAATTGAAGAAGTAGACAGTCTTCAAATGGAAACCGTATACTCAAAAAGGAAAAAAGAGGAAAGAAATAAAATAAATAAAATCAAGCATCTCAAATACGGGTGGACTACCTTCATCGTGAAATTCCACTTCGGTAAGAAAGAATTATAGGAAGTTGTGTTTGGGACACTTGACCCTGTAATTAAGAGTCCCTTTTAGTCCCTTAGATAAAGGCCTCTTAATAACCATTTCTTAATTACTCTTCTTTTTTTTTTTAACTTTATTCGGCATTCCCCTAAACAATTAAGGACCATTTCAATGTTAAAAACAGAGGAAAGCCGTCTTTATTTCAATGTTTCTGTCCATCTCTTTTTCATTCAGAAGTCCAAAAATCGTAAGGCCAATAAGATGCTTGACAACAGCCCCTGTTACTCTGTATATGACCCCCTTCAGTGTGTCTCCTCCTCCTTAATTGCCACATACACTTGAAGCTGCCTCATACAAACAGCTCCCAGCCTGGACAGTACTGCAACCGACTCAGCAAGCACCAGTGCGGGTTTCTCCCATGCGCATCTAAGTGCTCGCTGCTGGAGCAACTTCCATGTGCCCTCCTTGAAGAGTTACACAATACGGACAACACAAAATATCACTGCAAGTACTGCTTCCTTGACACGCTACAGGTTAACACACAGCTCTGAGAGGCTTCACTTAAAGGGTAAATAAATAACAACCAGTCCAAAAGGAAAAAAAAGACAGAAAAAAAAGGCATAAATGTTTTACTGTTTGAACTTAATGGATGTTTTTGCATTGCTTTACATACAGCTAGTTGTGTGGCAGCTCTCTGCTCTGAAATGGTCAGAAGAAAAAAAAAGACAAAAACAACAAAAGAATCTTAAAAAAAAACAAACAAAGAATGATTAATCAATACTATGTGCAGTCAGTGAACTTGCAGACAGATGTGTCAATTTTCACTATGGTTATTTTGCAGTATTACTAATGTGTCTATTGACTGAAAACGGAAAAAAAAATATCTGAAATACATATATACTTTAAATACTCTTCAGTTGTAGCGGTTCAGTGATATCTCCCCTAAAAAGTGAGCAGCTTTTTGTTCTCTATGCACCTTTTCAAAAATAGGAGAAAAAGAAAACATCACCTAGAAAAAAAAAAATAATAATAAATCACACAGAAAACAAACCATTTTCAGCTTAGTCACGAACTGGCCATTGAGCTCTGCTGAACACATACTCCAGTCATTGGAGACTCTTCCCTATCAATGCCTTGCCTCATGCCCAAATGTCCCTCTGTTATGAAGTGACTAGGTCCAGTATTTGTGGCAACAGGGTAAGTTGGATGTCCAGCAATGCCAGTCTCTTGGCGAGGATTTGAGAAGGCACCCAAACCCATGTTCATGCTTCCATTTTGGCTGAAGTCCAGGGTACTGGCAGGAACCTGGCGAAACTGGTAAGCCTGGTTACCGTGGTTTCCCGTGGAAGAGGAAGATGTGGAGGAAGAGGATGCAGAGGAAGACAGGGATGTCATGGACAGATGACCATGCACAACCTCCATAGAATCCTGTGTGGAGGCGCTGTTGGTGGGCGAGTTGTAGAGCCGTGGTCGAGGGTGCGCTGTTATGACCTGTCCATGATGATGATGGTGATGGTGGTGGTGATGGTGGTGGTGGTGATGGGGGTGCAATGCCTTAGGGTGTTGGGGAGGCACATGAAAGGTGGTCTCCTGGACTGGATGTGTCTCTACAGTGACAGGGTCTGGTCCAACACCGCCAGTCCATACTACAGGTGGATGGTAAGGCTGTCTCGTCTATAAGGGTTGAGTACACAAATGTGCAAAAAGGGCATACAGTAGCATGGTCAATAAAATAAGAGTAAACAAGTCAAAGATTCTGGCTACTTAAATATTCAAACCCAATAACTCTAAACTTCAGATTCCCTTCCTCACTCCCATACATTACATATTAGCTTCATAGTAGTTTATTTAAAATTTATTTAAAATTAAGTTCTAAATCTTAACCAAGCAATACCTGAGGGCAGAGGTTGTCACAGTCTATGGATGGCATTGTTGTGCCAAAGTGACCCCCACTGTGCCGATGGTGGTGAGTTGGATCAGATCTTGCTCTGCCACTGGTGCTTGTTCCAGATGATCCTCCTGAGAAGATGACAAAATGGCTTATATTAAATGGGATCAGTCACACTGTCAAATAATCTCTCAATTTCCCCACACTCTACATAAATTTTCAGAACACAAATCATAACACTCTGCAGTATAGTTATTGAGATAATGAAAATTTTTTTTTTTCAACCTGTAAAGTAGGTGTGGTAACCTGCTGTCTTGACTGGCTGGGGTCCAGCAAAGTTTGGTGATTTTCCTGCTCTTTACATGTCAACTAAAACCTACAGTTAACTGATGAGTTGAATGGCATCTTCAGGATCTTTATTTTTTGTAGAATTAATTATTAATTTTGCTTTAAGTAAGTTCATATAGGAATGTGTGTAGGGAGAAAAGTCAGTCTTTATAGTACACTGTGAAGACTGTGAAGAAGGTAACAGTTAAAAAGAAGCATGTCAAAACAAAAGCCATAAGATTTCAACAAGGGTTTAAAGTTTGGACCAGCATCAAATCCAGACTGGATCCTCAACCTTTCCATGGACATGCAACATAAAAAGAACCAGAGCTGAGGCAGATGGTCACTAATAACTGAGCTAACACTGCTTTAGCTGCTTAAAAGAATGTTCGCTTGACAACATTACAAAATACTCGTCTCAGCTAAGCAAAGTTATCTGAAATATACTGAGGTAAATTTGTTGTGCATTCATAAGCTTCCACTGTGTTTTCCTCTCGTACTGCAGCTGCAGTCTCTTCTATCTCTTCCTATGACAACTTTGGTTAAAAAGTATATGTTATGGTTGCTTTAGAAACAACTCTGAAGTTTGTTCTGTGAGTTTAAAGGAGATGGGCTAGCAGATGGCAGTGTTTCTGTTGTATGTATTTTGAAGGGGTTCAGCAAGTGGGTGAGGATTGAAGGGGTTGAGCGAGTGGGTGAGGAGTATAGACCATGCACGTCATGCCGCTGCCTCAGCTTGGGTTTTCTGTTTGTGTTGAGTGTCCACAGAGTTCCAGTCTGGATTTGATGGGTCCTCTCTGTTTGATACATTACCAAAGATGTCACTGGTCTAGTGTTTCCAAGCTAAATATGAGTTAGGAAACTGAAAATATATTTGATAAGTACCTGAGCTTGAGGATGTACTAGAAGTGGTCCCTGAGGACTGTGACTGCTCAAGTGCAGGACTTGTTGAAACACTACTGCTTGTATTTGTTCCTTCATCTGCTGTTTTCTTGAAGAAGCTGTGCTGAAGGGCATAGTAGGGCTGGATCCTCGTCTTAGGGTCATAGTCCAGCATTCTGAGTACAAGGTCTTTGAATTTCAAGTAGTCAGCAACTGCATGGCCCGATTCGCCGGCCCTTCGGCCCCCTGGTCCACCACCCTCCACTCCCAAGATGGCATGGAGCTTTCGAGAAGCCGGAGGTTTGTACTGTTCACAGAGAAAAAAAAAAGACTTATACTGACCGTATAAACTCAGAGTCAATGAAAAGAATACACTGCTGATGATACATACCCTTTTCCCGTCTTTGGTCTTCTTTATACTCCATGTCCCATCTGACAACTTCTCAAAAAACTTTCTGGCTTTTGGTGCTAGGTCCATTATGTGATTGGGTGGGATACCAAGAACTTCAACAATTTTGTTCATCTGGTCAACCTGAAAACAATGAAAGGAGTCAGTATACTAGGACGTAGACAGTTTAAACTGTAGCCTGCTAGTACAGCACTAAGACAGCCATGTATGATACGCAGCTTCATTTGTCAGATGTCCAATTTCATTTGTTAACTCACAGCTTATAGCAGGATTCACCATTTTAAACTTCAACCAAATGGTAGTAATGTAGATCAAACTGATTGTTGAAGTATTAAGCTATTAATTACAGTCAACAGAGCAAACAAGAAGACATTAACTTTTGTGTTAACATTAATTTTTCAAAGTATGTTTTTATAAAATAACTTTTTAAAATATGTTTCATCTGTGAAGTCAACTTGTCCTTGTCCATATTTTACCTCATTGGCTCCACTGAACAAAGGTTCTCCTGTATGCATCTCAACTAGTATACATCCTAGTGACCACATGTCTATGGCCAGATCATATGGCATTCCCAACAACACTTCAGGGGAGCGATAGAATCGACTCTGGATGTACTGATATATCTGGAAAAAGAACAGGGAAAAAGGCTCACCATGCTGCCAGATTACTTACATTACATTACTTACATACAAACACTACATTTAAAATTAAATCACACATCACATCACAAATGAGAAAAAAAAGGCATACCCTTTGTCCCAGTTGGCAAGAGCTCCCAAAGTCCACTATTTTAATGGCGCTTCTCTTGGGGTTACATAGCAGGATGTTCTCTGGCTTGAGGTCACAGTGGATGATACTGAGCTCAGGGGTGGCGAGAAACAGCAGTGCTGTGCACAACTGCTGGGCAAACTTTCTGGTCAGGTTCAAAGAAACTCCTCTGAAGTTTGTATTTCGTAACAAGTCATACAAGTTGTATGACAACATTTCAAATACTAAGCAAAGGTGATTCCGGAACATGAAGTGCCGCTTCAGATGAACTAAGCAGTCATGAAAAAGAGAGAAAAACAGAGACAGAAAAAATTATAGCACTGTAGTCCAAAAAATAAATAAATAAATAAATAAATAAATAAAAAAGTAAAACTGCTTATTTTGCTGATGATCATGCAACAACGTGACTAAACCCTGACAGAAGTGGACAAACATTCTCTTGCTTCTACACAATGATCATGGGCTCTGTGACTGATTTAACCAAATAAATAAAATATTAAGGAGCAATTGTAACTAGCTACATTTCCACTGACTTTCAGCAAGCAATAAAATAAAAATCTATAGCTTGTTTCCACCAAAGTAACATTTAGCAATAAAAATGCTTTGCATTTTATTTCCTAAAAAAAAAAAGAAAAAAACTTGTCGGTATTGCAACCAACTAAAAAGTTTGAATAGTTTCTCTCTCGTTTTATGTATCTTGCAACTTGTGAACCTCTGACTTCTCTATAACCTACTGATAAAGAAAACATTCCGTTTTAGTGTTGATTTCACAGTTATTCTTTCTTGGAGCTGTTATGCAAGAGATCAAGTTTCTCTGCCATACAGAGCTGTTTGAGCACTTTCCATTTAGAAATACTAGTTAACTGATAATAATATCAGAAGTTAACTGTTAAATTTAAGTCTAACACCATGTTGTGCAGTAAATAATATTATCAAGCACCATCAGTTGCCAGAGCACAGGCACCCTGCAAAGCAGTGAAACTTCTCCCCCATGTTAAAAGTATTAATATTATAAAGCATTGAACTGAAACATTGTAAAGTGAATCTTTAAAAGTTTGAAATGTTTATTACCTATATAGTACTTCATCTCTGTGTCATGTTTGTTCATGAGTTCAAGAAGCCGCACTTCAATCTGAGCTTGATTCAGAAAAGCCTTCTTGTTCTTGATGATCTTAATCGCTACCCACTCCTGCTCAGCGCGGTCGTAAGCTTTTACAACCTGCAACACGCAATCAGAACACATATGTTTTACTATACTTCATGCAGAAAGGAGCTTTTGACATCAGCTATCACAGCCTCTTTGAACCCACTAAATATAAATGCACAACCTGATGCCATAGGCATCTCAACATTTTTGCTAGTGAAAATGTTTACTGCTTAAAAAAAAAAAGGAAATTTCTGACAGCATTTCATTTTAACTCTTGATTTCAGAACCATGGCCTAAATGAGTAAATGGAGAAAGAAATAATAAAAGAGGCACTGCCTTTGAAATAAGCAATTCTGTGTGTTAATGTTTTGCACTTAAGCAGTCGTACCTGTCCAAATGAACCTTTTCCAATTAGAGAATCGATTTCATAACGGTCCATCCACTTCTCTCCATTCTTGACAATGTAGTCATAGTTGTCATCATCATAACCATCATTGAAGACTTTCCTCTCTTTCTTATGGCTGGAGTCCTCACCTTGACCCTGTTGATGCCGCCGTTTCTTTTTTGCATAATACACCTACACAGACAGAAAGACAACCATGCAAAACGTGCTTAGACGAGGAAAACATAAAAGCTACAACCACAGAATAGTCTACAACTTAAAAGTAACTACAAATTATACTATAAAAAAGTTAGGATTTTGCGAAATGTTTCTATACAGCACCTTTTGTAACTACTAAAGGATAAATGTAAAAGTTATTTTTGCTATATACAGTATACAGTTGAAAAGTTTGTTATTTTACATACAATTACATACATTATTAACACATCATATGGATTTAAGCATTGTGCAAAGGCCAATCAGTAGTTTTAGTCATTTTATTCAACACTTTAAGAATTTTGTGAATAAGGAGAAAAATGATAACACACTGCAATTATCTATTTACATAAAGTTTTGTCATGATACCCGGAATTCATGCGACTTTCACGGCAGTCCAACGCGACATTCGTTATAATTTTGCACTGCTGAGACCTCAAACATTTGGGTTGATGTTTCTGTACAAACAAAATTAGAAAGCACGTATCCAAACTGTTCTGCATTCAAAGAGATTGAAAGAAATGACTGAACGCGGCCATAGAATAATGAGGCTGCTGCGTCAAAGAAAAAGTTACACGTCTCAAAGCCAAGTTTAAAGAAAGCAAGTATGCGAACCAAAGAAGTGGCTGTGGGCGAATAATGTGCCCTTTTTTACAGTGAGCTTGAGGCATTGCTGTTTTACACATACAAGTCAGTTTAGGAGCGTGATCTGTTTAGACTACAGGCCACATGTGTAAGACATTGTAAACAGCCTAACAAAAAAAATCTGATTTGATGAGAAAATCAGATTTGGGCAACTTTTACCTGTTGTGTGAACGCAGCCTTAGTGACATCTGTCATTTTTGAGATTCCATAAAGAAGTCGCTGTTTCTTCTGCTCACACATTTTGAGTTTTAACCTCTTCATTTACATTTAATGATGTCCCAAAGAAGAGGTTTTTATTTGGCTCGTATTCTGCTGATTTTCTTGTATTAAATCATTAAATTTAGACACAAAACCTTAAATTTAGACACAAAACAGAATCTTTGAATATTCAACATTATTTGCCAACACTAAGAACATTTAAACAGTAGTTATTTCAACATCATTGTAAAGTTCTTGAAACATAAGCATAAGCTATTACTAGTTAAAGTCAACAAATGTTTGAGGGAATACCTGAATGACATGGAATAAACAAGTATGTTTGTATGTCTAAAAAGCATGAATACAGGAATATGCATAACGTCTGTGTGTCATGGGTTTAAAAGATTATAATGTTATATAATGTTATTATACAACATTTGGGCTACAGCTATGCAGTATGAACTACAAACAGTTCTGCTCAGCAACTTTTTTGTCATTAAGACAAAAATTCTGAGTGACTAAACGAATGAATGGCTGAATAACTGAAGGCATCCATGTGTTAAAATGAGTATATGAGTATTTCGCTGCTATGCCCAGTTCTCTCATATTACATGTTTAACGCAAAAAGTATTCTCCAAGAGAACAAAGTACACAAAGACATACTTTATCCTCTGGGTGCAGCCAGAAGAAAACGAAGAAATAGAATTCTTTAATAAAGCAACAATAGCATCCCCACAAAGCAAATATCATGTAAGTGCAAGCATATTGTGAAAAAGTATTACACCAGTTTCCCAATACAATCCTCAGGGATCCCTAGGGTGTCCACAATTTTACTTTATCCTTGTTCCCAGCACCACTGTGGGTCTGCAAGGAGTACATTGGGAAACACTGTTTTACTGAATTTCCACTGGTTTATAAACGGGTGCAAAAAGTTACACTCTCATGTTTACCGGCATAAATTAATAAAAGCTTAACTATCTTAAAATACTACGATCACAGCACTACTACAAATATGTTCAGTTAATATGCACAATTTAGCAGTAACTGCTGTCTGATCATGTCCTCAAGTCAAACTACTGTCATCTAAAATCATTACTTTTTTGACATTGTTACATATTTAGTTTTTTCATAAAACTTAACTGAAACACTATGTCATGAAAAAATATTACTGATAAATGATTATTTTCATAGAAACATGCATTAAAATGCTAAACAGGGGATCTGGAAACCCCGAACAGGCTGCTGGCTCACCTGTGAGGATAGCAGGAGAGCAGAGAAAATCACTTTAACCACAGTCTTAAAAATAAAAACTTTTTTTGGGTCGACTCTCGTCACTGGACAGGGGAAAGACTTAAGCATGCTTCATACCAGAGCACATGCTAAATTCAACCATGGCGACTTTATTACCTGTTGCAGGTGCCGGAATAATTTTCCTACGGCTATAGACAGCTAGCTACCAGACTCTCACTTATTCTTGGTAATAAATGCAACTGAGAACATGCTAACTACCTAACAATCCGGAGCAGTTGGAAAGCTCTTTGTACTGCAACTGGAGTTAAGACTAATACCGTCGACTCAAATTGTGAGAGTCTCGCAATCTGTGCCAAATCCAATTTCCAACAAGTCCGGTGCAGCTGGCCTCTGCATACTGCTGGTAAACTAACTAAATATTTGGCTTGATAAACATTTATTTTCCCACGGAAGTGCATGGATTCATAAAAGTAGCAAATGTGTTGGTTATTCAAATGCCTTTTCCATTTTGGACATTTTAATTATCAAATTGATCAAAAAATTGCTGACCATTTGTTGCAGCCCCAGGATCTACACATCAAAAATATCTGCACTTGCTGGTGATTGTGGGTGCAATAATTTGTGACCTTGCAGTGGCACTCTTACATAACGTGTACAGTGCTTTAAATGGCTGATTAAGTCTCTAGTACAGAAAACTGATAAGACCACATATTCATAGAAGAACAGAGCTCTAACAAACATCAAGACTTGGGTCAGCTCTTACCTCATTAATGTGTTTGTAGGTTTTGATCAGGTCAATGGAGAGCTTCCTTAAAGGAGCTACAGTTGGGTCACGAAAGCACTGGGGCATGTGCCTCTGTATTTAAAAACAAAGGGAAAAAAGGAAAAATGAAAATAAAGAACATCAGTTATAAAAGGTCATGGCGCAAAAATAAAAACTGTTTATGGTTTACATATGGGCACCCAGTACCTGGTTGGCAGTGAGTGCTTGTGTCTGGTCACTGTATGGCAGTACAGTGACAGACTGGTCTGTACTCTGCTGGTGACAGTCACTGTACTGCTGGTGCGAATGAGGCATCGGAGCAGCCATCTGAAGACCAGCAGCATTGAAAGAAAAAGAGGGTGCAAGCCGGACGGACGAAGGTTTGCATGCTGAGGTCTCTCCCCCTAGGAGAAAGTTAACAGATATTAGTGCTCATCAGAACAATGCAGCACTGTAAAAATGGGAATAAGGGATGATTCCTGTGTTTTTAACAATAACAGCACAGAGGTCTTACACAAATTTGTGCATGCTTCTCATTATACAGATATTCAGTGCATAATAATTAACTACTGCAATAATTATATTTAACTTAAATGCACAAAATATATTTTTTTGAATATACAGGTGAAGTACAGAGGCATCTATTGAGAGCTAAGAGCAGGACAGCAAGACAGGCACATCTCTGTCCAAGAAAAATCATCCAGATTGGAGGCTGGAATGTAGTAATGTACACTTGAAAAAAATCCAGAATGAATAAAGAACATTTAGTTATTAGCTCCTTACTAACCTCAATAGTATATTTAATAAGACTACACAGCAGTTTTTAAACGCTGAAGTGGAAAGATTTCACAAATTTGCCCTCTTAAGAGCAAATTTTGATAATTATTAGGAGAATGCTCATTCATCAGCATCCTTCACTAGGCAACACAATGCGCTACAGCCACACAGAATCCCACCACTATTTCAGAATCCCAGCAACAGCACCTAATTAGCATAGCCTATCACCAAGAAGATACAGTGTGATTTGGCAAGCCCATCAAGGTTCAAGCCAATCACGGAAGAGTATGCAAATAGCCTACTTTTGTTGCCAGGGCAGAGCTGCTCCCATTTTCCAATAAGAAAACAAGAAATAAACAAGAAATAAAACTGAACTTTGGCACACTTCAAGGCAGCATCCACCACATTGGAGACTGACAGCAGAATAGAAGCTCAACATGCACTCGTGTTGTAGGAGCAAGAGAATGATTCAGCTGACCTGACTAAGATTGAGGAAAGCATTCATACAAACTCTCAGAGGACAGAAATGTGCATGTTTGCTGTATAGTTTCAAAAAATATTTAGGGCAGAGACCATCATAACATACAGTACTAATCAAAACAGAGAAATTAATAATAATAATAATAATAATAATGAAGCCTACGTATATATGATGTATATATTCTGCAAGTAACCACTCAGCTTCTTCTCCTCTTAAAGATTTCAACCACTATCTAGCCAATTATCAAAATCACAAAAACACAGACAATTCACGTTAAATTTAATGCTGTTAATTAAGAAATTTTTCACTCAAAACAGCTTAAACATAATAAAATAAAACTTAGATATTCAAACACTTCAATCATCCAAAGTTTAGAGTAAATAAAAAATTAAAAAATATATATTTAACCGTTGAAGTCTTCAAAAGGTTAATAAAATACATTTTTAAAATTACATTATATACTTCACTGGCTGTTGGTTTTTCCTCCAACTTATTACATCGCCTAATTCCTTGATTCTAAAGCCCTATTCGAGCAGGATTAGTATTATCTTGGGACATACTGTAATTTGAGTGAATAACTCTGATTTTAATCCAATATGCCATGTCTATAGTTTTTGCAAGTCTGCCAAGCAGTAATTCTGAAGGGAATTACCTTCTCTAATTCGCCAAACTCAGGGCTCCTCAGTAATAGTAGTCCTGCTCAGAATAAACATCTCAGTAACATAATTACAAAAAGGGGTAACAGAAAACGGACAAGGATGAATTTGGCTTTCTATTCGGCAGCTTCTTGTTTGAATTTTCCCATTCCACCTAAAATGGTGCAGGAGTCACCTTCTGGCACCTGAATTTTCAAAAATTCAAACAAAAAGGTGGCAAATAAGAAGCCATCTTCAGCTTCACGGAAAACAACGCCTCAAGACAAGAATACTGAAATCCACAAGTCTTTGGTGATGGCTGAATTACAAGAACGAAAATGAACTCTAAATCACCTTTCGTTTTCTGCCTTGTTGAGCGGCATTAAGCTGAATGAACCCACTTTTCTAGCCTAATGCTAGCCTGCTTGCCGTTTAGCTATACAGTGTGTTGTCGTTGTTCAGAAGTGTGGCACTTGTTGCATAATGTTGATGTAAACATTTGCACTTTGATATTTCAATCTGGGCTATTTCGGGTAATTTGCGGAAATTACAGAGATCCTTTATCCCGTACGAATTGGCCAGTCAAATTACATTATCAAACCTTCTCTGGAAAAACTAATCCAACTCTAATAGAACATTACACATGTTTAATCATTCATTTATTTCCCATTATTGTTAACGTTTATGATTCTGAGTGAAGCAATCTGCACAGGTGACATCTGATATATCCTTGGCTAAAGGTTTCTGCGTTACTATGTTTATGGCTGACATGGATGATCTGCACGTTTCCCATTTAAGGAATGTGTATTTTACTGATCGATTCAAAATATTAACGCAGGCAAACACTGCTGTCCCAAAAGAGTCCTAAAATAAATAAATATATATATAAAAAAAAACCACACACCCTGTGAATAGTAAAAGAGAACAGTGATTCTAGAAAAGTTAACAAGGCATGCTTTCATGTTTTATGTGGAAGGTGCACCAGACTGCTGTTTCCTAGAAAGCAAAAAAAGAAAACGTGTGCACTTAAATTTTACAAGTTAACAGCAGCAGCAACATTTCAACCTTTTAGAGACGTTCATAAACATCCCAAAAATAAGAAACAGGGATTGGAAAAGCCAAAACATATCATATTACTAAGTTTTTAGGTAGTATTTAAGTTTGATAGTGTATACTGATGTGTAAACCACAGTAAATATGTAATTAAGGCAGCAATAATGTTTAACTCAGTATGTGACCTTCACCAAGAGCAGTTAGGGTGCTCATGTACTAAAACAGCTGTATGAACATATAATAAAGCATGGGATATTTGAATCATTTCAGTCACAGAACATGTTTGATGTATATGTGAATACATAGCAACATTTAATGCAGAAACCTTGTAGTTCGCTTTAAAAGCACTGTTCATCTGAATATGATAATGTTGACCCAGATATGGGATGTGCGAATTCATGTTAACATAATAATGTAGCCTTTTCATTGTTTTATCGATTATGACTAAACCAGAGAGAGCTTCCTTCTGCTGGCTATTCACAGCCATCAGCAATCAATTTCTTTTAGTATTTGTCAAACTCTAATACACAAAAATAGTTCCTTATAGATTTGACAGTCTAAAGAGTATTTAGAGTAGTAGTTAATCAATTAACAAACAGAGTTGTTAGCAAAGTTGTTATTTTTTAATGTGCTTCATCACTTAGTTGGTGGTTTTGGAAAGGTGAGGAAAAAGTTAGTTTTGCACCATGAACTATAACTCTCATGCACCCTGCTAGAAACATTTTCCCAAATTTCCTCAGTCACCAGTATATATATATATATACACACACACACATACATACATACATACACACACGCACACATTACATTACTACTTATAGAATAAAGCAGTTGAAATGTTGTCACTTCTGACATACAGTACCCTGCTTTCCATGAAATACTAGTCACATTCTGATTGGTAATAAATTGTTGTATTTTATCAGAAACACACACAAAAAAAAAAACACTATATCTGCATTATATATTGGCCATCGCCCTGCTCTCTAAATATCGACATCAGCCCTGGGAAAACCCATAGGGTTCGACCACTAAATCAGAGTTGTTTTATTAAACTCTCAACAACTTCAAATACACTTTTATTTCTATTTTTATACAGGCAAATTATTCCATGACACAGTATGGACTGTAAAGCATTCAGATGCACATCAAATACATTTTTTTCAAAAGAGCAGCTTCTTCAAAATTCTTCAAAACTGCTGAGCACATAAAAGTGTATACTTTTTACTGTACATATTGCACTAGTGTGTAAATAATTACTTTGGGAAGGAGATAGCTATGAATTAAATATTAACTGTTTCTATCTGTTGTCTTACAGCAAATACTTAAAATATAACCCTTTTTCACTTCCTACAATGCTAACCAATCTCTCGAAAACAACCCATACACCTCACATATCCACTGGAGTCCATAATTTCTTCAGATGCTCAATTTTTAAGCATAATTAAGGCCAAAGAATTCTTATCACTTAAGCCTAAGGCTAAACTCATAGGCTCAGAAAATGTACATGGTGAGGTTTCACCATGTGTTCACAAACCAATAGCACAAATATTTTTATGTTTGCCATATTAATATGGCCGGTTATTGTCAGCAACATCATGAGACAGTACTTATCACAACACACAATATGATACAATAACAAAACACACCAGACGTGCTGACATGTTTGATCAAAATTTACCTTCAGATCACATCTTATGTCTTTATGTACTAACGTCACACACAGGATCAAACCCAGGAGGACCCAGCTCAATGTTTAGGTCTCAAATGCAAAATCAACATTATACTGATGAAGATATGATCACAATAGAGGATAGTTCATCTACATCCTTTAGAAGACACGTCCTTCAGGTTTTGACAAAGTCAGCTGGTCTCCATGCTAGGCTAATGGCTAATCCCCTCTTTTCCGCTTTTAACGCAGTACAACCTGACAACAGCTTTAACAACAAACTGCACTGACTTAACTCAGACCGCAACTCACTATACTTGTAAAGTTATGCTCTGTATGTTAAGTTACATTATCTGTGTTTATTTATGACACACCAGTACAAAAGTAATGACAAAACTCATACCTTAAGAAATTCAACAGGTATATCAGATAAACCAGTATATCGCCCCCTATTAGTACCATAGTATTTCAAAATTTCGATGGTGTCAAATTTCTGTTGCACAACTAACAATTGGTCAAATAAACACAACCCTCCCATTCACACATTCAATTTCGGATATTGTTCCAACAGCAGTCACTTAACTGTAAGACAGGAGTCTTTATTTTCTTCTGATACCGAGTCCAATACCGCAATGAATTACCTACTTAGAATTAAGCAGCTGTTAGTGTAAATGAGTGCAACGTACCTGAATGCTTACTGCATTTCATTGGCTCTGTACCTGTACTCTGCACAATGACAAAGTTGAATCTAATCTAATCTAAAATAGTTAAGTCATTAAAATCTAGCTGGTT